AATAAACAACAGGCTTCAAGGCTGAGGAGACGCATCTCTATTTCAGCCGGAGGGTTTCGCATCTGGATACCCGAGTTGGGACGTGGCCCTGGACAGATGGTGGGACATGTTTTCTTGCTGAACTAACAGCAGGTTCAGATCCTCTGTAAGACCAAAGTCAGTGATAACATCCCTACTGTTGCTTCTTTCCAGATAAATAAGGCCTTAAAGCACAGGCTCACACATTTTAACTTTGAATAATTACCATTAATGTTAAAGGGTATTGTAAATGGAAAGCTACCAAGTAACAGTCAATATCTGAGAGGACGATCAATGCTTAACCACAAGACAAATAGTATTTCAAGATCTTCTATATCAGCATTACAGTGAAGGAAGACAGTGTCGGGGTCATTAATCAATAAACACAACAAGCCAACCAATACATTTGACAGAGACTAATGAAATAATAATCATCAGAGGATGATGAGGAAGACTGGAAAAAAAAAAAGAAAACACATGCTGCATTCAGACACTTAATTGCACACACAAAACAGCAGTCAAAATGAAAATAAAACCACGACAAAGAAGAAGTATGCAATCTTGCTGGACAATTTTGTTGCTGTCTTGTTTACTTGCTTTTCCCTCTTTGCTGAGAAAGTTAAATAAGTGTGCCTCATATATTTAGAGTCAAACTGAACTCACTTGGCGCTAAGCAGCTTGTCAATAGCGAGAGAGGAGGTACAAGGTAAGAGAGGCTGTCTGATAAAATGGCTTTTAATTACCAGACAGTGAATGCTGGCCTTCCTTTTCCACTTTCTCCTCCCAGCCAAGTCAGGACTTTGATTTCTGATAATGAGGATTGCTGACTGGGCTTCATCCTAGTTGCCCCTCTAGCAGAAGGACCTAACGTCAAATCCTAGGAGAGTAAGTTTGACAAAGTGCCATATAGATCCTCTGCTTTTCATCAGAGGGCAGTGCTGGTGGAGGCATTAATCAGAGCGCCTGATAGCCCCGCTTTGTTTTCTTCTTTACCCTCTTGTAACAATTAGACAGAGTCATAATTTCAGGCATTACATAGAAATCAATGGGTCTTTAACCCAGCTGTTTGTACAGGTGTAAGAGATGGGATTCATGTAGATGCAGGTCAATACAATGAACTTGTAACCTCCATGTGTTTTACAGGATGTGTGAGTGGGTTAGACAGTGGACAATTGAGATGGATGGATGGATGGATTTGATGCAAAATGTTTATTGAAGACTGGAAGAAAACAGAAAAAAAGTATACGAAGGTGTGGTTTATATGGCTCATTGTGTGTCTATGGGAAACATTCCTTCCACACTCTGGACACACTGGAAACTGAATTTGTATGAAAAGATGTGGAAACCATTTAATATGAAATACTACTGTGAAGTATACTCTTGAATTGGCTACTGGTACTAAATCCTTAATTTCTTCTCTTTCTACCTTAATATAAAGTCTTTGATGTAAAATATATTAATACTGCACTTATATCCTTTTTGTATTCATAGTGTATTATTTGTTTTCTCCTCTTACCTTTAAACCTTTTGTAATAAATAAAGAGGGAAGGTTGGGGAGTTATAGGTGAGCTTAAATACCTTTTTTACATCGCAACTCCGATGGGGAGGGAAGTGTTTCGTTTTACTCCAGATTTTGAAATTACGCTTTTTGTAACTTTACAGGTTACATTAAAATGTGGTGTAACAATATGATATGTAATAAATTAACAGACTGCAGCTACACTACTACCGGCTGCAGAGATACAAGCGTTCCCTCAAAATGATTCTCTAACCTTTTGAACAAGATGGTAACAACTGATAAAGAAGTTCAGCCCCAGGCCACCAGAAGTAGAGGCTTTGTTTTTGCAACCAGTGAAACCCAACCTACAGCAGGGGCTGGCACAGCGCATGTCTCATTGATATTATTTTCAAGTAGCACATGTCCAGACAGAGCGAGCTCTAACTAGTTCTGATCATTACACTGAACTGCTGTCAACAGACTTGGGGATCAGCTGTGTGAGCAGAGTGCTGTAAATTAACAGAGCAGGAGACTTCATTTTGCCCAGAGATCAATGTCTTGTTCTTGGAACTGCAATCAGAGAGGCTGATGCGGCTCCTCGATCATAAGGCCGTAATCAACAACAGCTTTAAGTGCCCCTTTGTTTTACATTCAATTATTTGCTAATGACTCATGCCGAGTGAAACACTTTAAATACTAATGCTGTGTAATTATGGAGTGAGGAAGCAAAAACTCTTTGAAAACATGAAAAAAGGTCTTGGGGCTCCTCTTTACACCTTTTTTTAAAACAAGAAAAGAGTAAGTGGATTATTTGAGGAAAAATAGATATATTGCAGGTATAATTATTTGAGAATGTTGTAAGTACATTTACATTTGAATAGCATAAAATGCTTAATTTCTATTACGTTGAATGTCCCGACGCTTTTTAGTCTGTGTCAAATGTGGCGCCCCCTGTGGACAAAGTGGTACCTCTGATCTCTTTGCTGATTTTGTACTGTACATGTGTAAGAAAGGTATCCCCCCCCAAAAAAAAAAAAAAAATCTCTTACTGCTCCCTTTTAAAAGTCAAATGATTTCTCATTTAGTGTGGAAAATTTAAAAAAAAACTGCTTTTTATACACTGTGCAGTATCAGGCATTAAAAATAGATATATAGAAATAATTACATTTAATGCAGATCAATTAATCAAACTTTAATTGTATCACACTTTTTATACAATGATTATGCTTTACATTACAAGCAGCTGAAAACTCCTCACAGGGGCTCTACACTGAGAGGAGACTTACTGCATGAACATACAGTATGACACACTGAACAGAAAGAACAAAGTTGCAGTGTTTCTATAGAAGTTACCTAATTCTTTCAAGATGTTTCAAGATGGGTCTGAGCTTGAGTTCATGATAGAAAGAAGTTTAGCTAACTTTTGACTGTTAGAAATTGAAATTGCAAAATATTGTTCATGGGAGCAAAGCAAGATAATGATGTTGCTGAGAGAAGGGAGTGAAAAGTGTCTCAGACTCATTGTCTGAGTGGAATTACAAAAATTGTCACAATTGTAAATATGAATATAGAGCCTTGTTTTTTTTTACTTGGTGTGAGTTTATGTGAACATGAAGACCATTCACACAAAATCCAAATATAGATAGAACATTAATAATAATGGTTTAAGGTCAATTCTAGGGGAAAAAAATGCCCCCCTAAGATTCTCACATATTTATCCTCCAAAAAACCATTGTGTGCTCAAAAGTGTACTCTCCTATAAAACTTGATTTCACATCAATGCCATGCCAAGCAGTCTGAGGCAACAATGGCAACAATATCTTTTGATGGAGAATTCAATTATTCCAATTCACTATAAAAGACTCTGTTATACACACACTGAAAGTGTGTCACCCAGTGTTGCCTTCATGCAAGACTCTTTACAAAGCTTTTCAGTCAGACTCTTATTCAAAGCACATTCAAAGCTAGAATGACATCTGGGTTATATCAGATTGTTCACAATGCAATATTCTGATATATTCACATTTAGCTGACTTGAAAGTTCTGAAATCAAGTTGGTTATTACATTTTTGGGCTTATAGGTTGTTTGTCAATGTCATGCAACACAAAGTACTGTACCTTGGAAGTTTAGTTTTGATAGAAATCCTTGCTAACCTTGCTATCGTTAGATTTGAATACAGGCCAGTTCTTGTGTGGCAACAGTCTGAATTGACTGCACATTAAAACTTTTTTTTCTGTAGAGTTAGAAATACAAACAGATATTCAAGCTCTTTCTCTTTTAGTCCTTCTGTTATCAGGCTGCTCAATGCTGACAGCAGAAACTGACATGTCAGCCTGTATAAATTAGGTCCTATGAAGTTGTTTATGTGCTGCAATAGTTATTTCTGACCAGAGGCATCCCATGAGTGACGATAAACGAGAACAATATCACTGGGACTTTTCACAATACAGTATGAATATCATTAGAGGACTTCTATCTTCAGTTAACTTGATTGTTGTTACAATGTCTTTCAGGTCTGCCTAAAACATCAGTCGACAAATGCAGCTGTTTTGGAATGCTGCTGCTAGAGTCCTCACCAAGACCAAGAAAGTGGATCACATCAGTCCAGTTCTGAGGTCTTTACACTGGCTCCCAGTCTGTCAGAGAATATACTTAGAAATACTGCTGCTGGTTTATAAAGCACTGAATGGTTTAGGGCCAAAAAAACATTAGTGACCTTCTGATAAACTATGAACCGTACATTTTTATACTAGTTTTTTCATATAAATATTTTATTTTGGCTTCTGTTTTAATTTCATTTTGTTCTTATTTTATTTCTATCAATTTTTATTTATATGAATCAATATAATAAATTTTAGGCATTCTAAGTGGTGAGGTTTTGACTGTGTAGGGTGCCTCTGTTGGGGGGGGGGGGGTATCTGGAAGTCTGAGCCAGCTTGCGAGCTCGATCGGGAAGACGTTCAGAGGTGGATTTTTAAACAGAATCCAATTCCATTAGGCAAGACCAGCTGGTGAATGTGTAAGACTCTGTGGTCAGCGACTTCAGAGCACCAGATTCTTATGAGTCCGAGTTGATTATTTATTGTAATCCTTCACTCATATTGACAGACCCAACACAATTCTTTGATAACAAACTGATGTATACATTTTGTATTTGAATGTCTTATATTCACTTGATGTCATTTTCTGCATTTCTTTTGGATTTTCATTTATTTTTTTAAAACATATTTTCATATTGAATCTTCTCTGTGATTGTTAATGGATTTTGTTAATGATGTTTTAAATTTCTATTTTAATGTTTATTTTTCCCTTTGCCATATGAATTATATAGTTATATGAATTCACTTGCCTTGACTATAACCTGGCTCCACACAGCCGATCTTTAGGACCTACTGTACATCAACCCTTTTGACACTTAGATTAATATTTTGAAGGGACAGTGGGGGGGTGGCCGTCTTTTATTTTGAAGAGCCTAGACCGGATGTTGATAACGCAGGAGTTGTGATTTCCTCTAAACTAGCTGCAAGGCTAAACACCTCCGACAAAACAAACTTTACACCGGAGACTAATTGGACACATGTGTGCAGCTCTACGTTTGATGGGGATCACAGTCACAGTTAATGTTGTTTACATCTAAGTGTCTGGACTTAGCAGGATGCTAGCATGTGTCGTTAGCAAGCCGCTGCAGGAAATTAGCTTGTCAGCCTAGTGTTACTATGAGGTGTATTTGTTCTTCTTTATGCTCATACTAGATTTAAATAACCTCTATGCAATGGACACCGAGGCAATAGTTATTCGAATAAAAACGCCGTCCGGGGATATGGACTCGTCCGTCGACTGTCCATCTCTTCTGAACTTCAATGACTTGCTGGTGAGAGCTAGCTGATGAGCATCTTTTCATGTTGATGCAGTTTTCTATTACAAACAGGTTTCCCTATTGAATGTGACTGAGCTCTGCTAAAGTCAACTTGCTAAACTGTTGTTGTTTGTTAATCTCACTGATATGTTCACCTGTGGAAACTGATCGTGTTGGTCTGTTGTGTTATTCCTTTATTCTGCTCTTAACTCAGCCACAGTGTAGAACTGAGAAACATGACTTTTAAAGTCTTTTTGTTGTCCAGCCAAATGAGTTGCAGGCAGAATATTGGAAAATGTGGCAATTCTTGAGGTTATTAATGTACATAAAAATATTGAGTTTAAACATGACCTTTGACCTTTATTTGGAAGTTAAGGTACTCTGCCTTTTGCATTGCCTGTACAATAATAAGGGGTCGTGCCAAGGCAAGAGGCATTCACTTCCATTTGTTAGCTCCCTTGGTTGCTGATCACTATATTAAATCAGTGTATGATAAATAATGATAACATACACGTGAAATCTAGTGATCATGGCACAATTAAGTGCTTGATGAGAGATATTAAAACAAAGGCACAACACCTTAACTCCACTGCAGTGAAACAGTAACTTTACTTTGATCTGCAGCAAAACAAAGGCAGAAGACCTTAACTCAGTTTGAGCATTCAGGATTGCTGCCGTTCAAAGACCCTTATGAGTGAAGCTACTGCACTGCGCCTTGGTTTCTCGAGGGCTTTTGGAAGTTAAGGCAAACACAACTGACTATTTTCTCAAAAGAACAACACAATTGACTCAAAATATCTGTCCTCATAATAAAGCACATCTGTAATGCTCCAAAAATGACAAAAACTCATTTTCAAGTTACTGCCTTTTGCCTTTGTAGGGCAGTATTGTAATTTTCATCCGTCTACAGTTCAAAACTTGACTTTCTTCATTTTAGGTTGCCATCAGAGATGTCATGCCTGAAGCCACTGTTACAGCCTTTGAATGTAAGTGTTTGTTTCTTCATAGTATTTCTTTACAGCTGAAACGACGACACTACTACCAGAGCCTTCACGACCATTTGGAGAGTAGTAAACATTCATGATACATCAGCTTTTTCATCTCTTAACAATGCCACAGTTTACAGTTGTATGATTCTTTTGAGGATCTTGGTGTGATTAATGAGAGGATTAATAATAGTATTTGAGTCAAGGCAATCCATGCTGAGACCAAGTGCTTGACAAGAGGCTGAGACAAAACCAAGACCCTGAGTCAGTGCGATCACGTCATGAATGACATGCTTATAATGAAATGTTCGATGTGCAGACGAGGACAACAAGCACACCCTAAATTCCCATAAAAACATCCACAAACTGACTCGTAATCCTCTTCTTTTCTTTTAATCCTGTCGTTGCCATAAATGATGGCCTATGAATCAGGTTATTGGTTGCATACAAAGCTTTACATTTTTAATTTTTGAATCATGAGTCCGCCTTGTCCGGGACCGAGACAAGATCAGAAAAAAAAAGGTTGATTCCAACAAGACAAGACTGAAAACTAGGAGCCTTGAGTTTAGGGCTTACATTTTTAAACCCTATCCTCACCTCCTCTCATCTCATTTTAGTCTTTTGCATCTAAGACTTCTGCATAGGATACCTTTTGCACTCATGCCCATAACTGGCAAGCTGCCTATATCCGTACTCCTCTTCCATGGAGATGCATTTTAGGAATTGAGTCTTCTGTCAAGATGGTGTGTTAAGATCCATTTCCAGGTCACTAGGTAGAGGACTTAGTAATAGAAATGGAATGGCACAAATAGAAACACGTGCTGAGAGATGTAGATCAATGACAAACAATTAAGTGATATTTTTTCATTAACTCAATCAGATATAGAATTAAGTTGTACATAGTTGACAGACTGTGACAAAATGTTTCCACTCGGAAAAGGAGTTGTACTTTAGTGGATAAAACAAGCGAAACAGCTTCTTTGTCATCAGAAGTGTAAAATATTTACACAGGATGACTTTGAATTAAAGGGTTTCACTATCTACAATGCTTTGCATCAACATTTTTGTTATACGCTTACCTTAACTTGCCAAATTGCTTAAAGGGATACTTCACCCGTTGAAACGTGACTCTGTATTGACATGTGAAATGTGAAATACATTTTGAAGTTGGTGCCTTCTTGACCGAGAAAACGCAGAAAGTGTATTTTTGGCTCATGTGGATGAAAGACACCAAATCCCAGAATGCACAGCACCGCAGGCCACTCCCACTAAGGTCCGAATCAGAATCAGAAATACTTTATTAATCCCAGAGGGAAATTCGATAGTTACAGTTTCTCCAAAATATACAATATAGCAGTAGAAATACAGTAATAAAAACATTTACAGACATATTTACTTCAACACATACGGCCATTTCCTCAACTGATTCAGAGATTTCTTCCAGAATTGATCTTGGAAATTCCTGTCAGAAAACAGACTCTATGTCTGTGTCCATAGGCAAACAGTGAGAGCACCGACACTACCAGTCCGCCCCAGCTCGAGCCGGCCCGGGCTCCTCGTCCACACCGGCGGCGGCCAGCATTATAGCTGTGAGACGGTTGCTGCCGACAGGCCGGTCTTGTGTCGCGGTGGCCGGCGGCATAGCTTCCAAGCAATACGGCGGACGTTAAGTTTCGATTCTGGGCGTGAGTTCCCACCCACTGATCTCTGATTGGTCTGTAGCTTCAGTGGTCGAAAATATGAGGAACTAGCGTTGTAGTTTCACCCCGCTAACCGCAACAGCTAAGCTCCTTTTCAGACTTAGAAATACAAAGATTTCCCATCTCAGGGGAAAATGAGGGCGGGATGCACGACTATTCAAAAATACTACCAGGTTTCTAATGATACAAAGCTTAATGCAAATGGGTGAAGTATCCCTTTAAATCAGTTTAATTTTGCACCCACTTGTCACACAGTTGAGTTTTTATTGCTTTTAAACACTGTGTTTGGTGTTGAGTCGTGCATATGGTGTTGAAGGTTGTTATTATTTGTTAAACATTTTGCCATCTCAGTCGTAACATGCTGCTTTGTTTTTTAGATGAAGATGAGGTGGGGGACAGAATCACTGTAAGAAGTGATGAAGAACTCAAAGCCATGCTGTCATATGTGAGTATAAGATTTTAATTATGATTTAGTCATATAGTCACAAGTACCATTTCCTGTCAGACCTTGTAGTTGCCATTTCTGTCCATGCATATTTGAACATCTTGAATATTCATGTATTATCCATTAAGGGTTTTGTCAAATATTTTTCAGTCATTAAATGCCATTTTATCCAAATTCAATACTTCAAATATAGAGTGTTGTATGTTTTAGTCATTGTAGAGCCACCTGAGGGACTATTATGATCTGGAGGGTAGAAATCAATGCGCTGGACTCAAGTGGACTGAGTACAGGACAATGTTATTAGGTGTTATTTACCTTCTAAAACCATAGTACTTCAACTCAAACTCAGCTTGAGTGATCACCCAAAAGACAGGTTTGAAAATGTCTTAAGATAACCAACCACTTGTTAAACAATTTGACAAACTTTTTTATCTTTTTTTTGCTGCAGTAGATTGTCTAAAATGAACAGGTTACCAAACACTTATGTTGTTGTTTAAAATGTAGCTCAGGGCTTTCTATCAGAGAGACAGATTTGTTTTTAAAGAGAAGAATTTAAACCGTGAAGACCCGAGTGAGTAGGATTTACTTAAAATAAATAGTTTGGATACATCCCTCTCAATCATCACATATGACCCACTAAAATGTGATGAAGTCTGTTCTGCAGAGACTCTGTGGTCATGTGTTTTTAATATGTTGCTAAGTTCTGGACGTTTCTGGGCTTTAATTTTGGGCAGTGGTGTGTTGACCATGTCAATTAAGAATAATAATAAGAAGAAGATATACTTTATTTATCCGTGAGGGGGAATTTAATTCAATCATTACATAACAAAGGTCTTAGTGTCTTGTCTGTCAGAGAGGCCACAGCCGGCATGCTCAGACGTGCACTTTTCCAACATAAACCTGACAGCTTAAAAAGTAATTGTGTGAAAGATTGAATGTTTGTATTTGTTTGTTACTTTGGGACCACAATGAAGCAATCACAAATGAACTCTGCTTTGTTCTTGCCAACATTTTCCCCTTTCTAACTCCCTCACCCGTCACCACTGTCCCTCTTACTCTTAGAGCTGAAGAGGAGACACCAAAGTTTAATTTAATTTGCATCCAGACATTGAAAGAAGTTGTTTATTCTGCAATTGAAATAACTCCTAGTCAAAATCCGGTTTAGGAGGCATCAGTAAACAGGTTAAAAACAAACTTCTTTTTTTAAAGAAGAGTATTTTTGGGAACCTGGGCTGCCCACTTGAAGGCCTACAGCCTACATACATGGGGCGCTGGCCTCGCACACTAACCACTGCGCCACCAGCGCCCCAGTTTAAAAACAAACTTAAGAAGAAGTGAGTAAGTCACTGAGGACAAAATGAGATGAACAACTTTTTAATGCTTTGCTTCCACCCTAAAGGGATAGTTGGGGTTTCTGTAGGGGGTTGTAGGAGGTATTCATCAGAAGTCTACACTGTGGTGCCTGTAGCCTAGTGGTTAGTGTGTGCGCCCCATCACAGAGGCTTAACTTCTCTAGAGGGACCGCCAGGGTTCGAATCTGAACTGGGGCTCCTTTTTTCGGCTTGTCATTCCCCACTCTCTCTCTCTCCTCTCTCTCTCTCTCTCTCTCTCTCTCTCTCTCTCTCTCTCTCTCTCTCTCTCTCTCTCCCCTCTGATAGCTTCATTCAGTTGTATTTTACTGACCCGAGGTAAAAAAAAAAAAATTAAAAAAATCTTATTGCTAGTTTTCAGCAACACACATACAAACACACAAACTTGCACTACACATTCAGCTCCCCCCACCCAATGTCACACATTTTCATATTCCCCCATACTTACTGTTCATGCCACGGACAGTAAGAGTAATGGCGTGTAATGGGTTTCTCTACGAGGTACACTGAAAGCTAAATGAACTGTCAATTTTTATTATTTATTATTCAGTACTTAAAGTTTTGCCTCATTAAAGAGCGGCCCCCCTGGGCAGCAGAATTGTTCAAAATCTACTTTCATCTGTGGATGTCTTTTACCCCCCATCAGCTCACAATGATGATACTAGAGCCACAGGCACAATTCACACTCCTTGTTTTTTTGTCCATCTTTATCATGCATTCACTTGTGGTTGCTTTTTAATCATTAAGTAGCAAAGGGTAGCAGGGTGATTAAGGACAAGGAGACAGCTGTTGTGCTGGTGACAGTTAAAACATGGACAGAAAAAGTATTGACCTCAGTCAACCTTTTTTTTTTTTTTTTCACAAATGCAGCAGACATGCTTTCAGATTCCTTTGCAGTTATGCCCTGCTGTGCTGTGTGACCTGTTTAGAGCGGTGTTTTCATAAGAAAATCTAAGAACTGGCCAACCCATTGGGTGTCAGGGATTTTCTGTCTTGGATGTTTTGGGATTGTTTTGTGTATTGATCGTTTGAAAGGCGTTTTGATTTGTAAATCTATCTCACAACCTCATTTGGAAGTAGAGTTATGCCGCAGCCTGCTGGAGTAGATGATCAGAGTTTAGAGTCTATTGGTCCGTTCCTTCAGAAAATTTGTGAATGCATAATTATTTTATTCAAGAAAATACAGTGTTAATAATAATGACTTGATCTACGTCTTCATCTAGGATTTTTCCACTCTCAATTATGATATGATTATTAAATATGTTTTTATGTATTTAAAAGGTGAGGAATAGTGAAAACTGTCTATTAATGATTCTTAGTGATTCACACGTCAGAGAGATGACCCCCAAGATCCAAAGATTTTCAGCAAACTGTTTTGTTTGATTGAAATTAACCAGACAATTCTTTCATTATATTCATATAAAAAGCTGCAATTGATTTATTAGTTATCAAATCAGTTGAAAATGAATTAGATTAGTTGTTGCGGCTGTAATTTTTTCCATCATCAGTGTCTTGTCAGCCAAAAGTGTGATTACTTGATATTTTCCAATATTTTACATTATATGCAAAAAACTTCCTATTTGTACTTTCTTTGGCAGAACAGGCTACAAAAAAAGTATCGTATTATCTCAATTTGAAACTCGTAATTTTCTTTTTTTAAATTCAGATAACATGACAAGTCTTTTTAAACTAAATTAAGTTACGACCCTGAACCTGCACCTTGCTTTACGAAGCAAAAATATTAAATATGGCCAACACTGCATTGCTTCGTCCACCAATTTCAAAAGCCAATTTGGCAATGAATTTTTGGTAAAGAAATCCAGTAGTCCTGTAATAGCTTTCTACTCCCACTGGGGAAGAAAGTGTACAAAAAGCTGCTGATTGTGAGGAAAATGTGTGGCTCACTAACATATAATTTACACTACCAGTACTTCATGTGTGTTATGCAAAGGTTATACATCTGAGCAGGCATTTGCATTTTCATTCAGAGGATTTTTTCTTGTTGTGGTTGTTGCTGTGGTTGCCATTTGGCTTCCGTAGAGACCCCAGTGGATTTTTGCCTATGTGTTGTTAATTCCAGGTGAGCAGACAGCTATTATGGGAAATTAATAGGAATTAAGCGGAATCAGCATGTCAGGTGAAAGGTGGGATAATTCATTAGAGTCTCAGTGGTTGCCCCTTGTGTGTTTCTTTCTATGTTTATGGATAGTTAAAATTCCACATTCATAACAAGAATTTAAATATGCTGCCTGCCACAACATTTTTTTTCCTAATTCAAGACCTCTACTTTCACGTTGCTTTAGAAAAAAAAAAAAAACATGCTCCTTGATGCTGAGTAAAATTAATGATCAAATTCAGCAGTTAATTAACATCAGTCTGCAAGAGGGCATGTATTGTGAGAAGTATCCCCCATCACTGACAGCATTGATTGCTACATGTTCCTGTGAGACCCTCAAGTCTTGCAGGCATCTCTAATCATTGTTCGACTCCTTGAAAGACAGACACCTCTGTTCAAAGTTAAAGACTGGCCTGTGTCAGGTACTAAAAAAAACATGTGACCTCATCCGCTCCTCGCTCAGCTCCCCCTGGAGGTAGAGGCTCTAATTCCACCATTCTTACTCCCATTTCCCCTCAGTCTGCTAATGATGATGAGACCCACTCTGTGCTCTCTCTCTCTCTCCAGCTTGTCCCTTAAGGCTGAGCGATGGTATTTGGGATCGGACACTGTTTAGTTATTGGCCAACAATGGAGAATGTCTTTTAATAACACAACTACTACAGATTTGGTGGTAATTGCAGCCTTAATCAATAAGCTAGCTGAGCGGAAAATTAAAGGTACATGAAGCTGGACCCCCACACACACACACACACACACACACACACACACACACACACACACACACACACACACACACACACACACACACACACACACACACCCCCCCAGAAACACACACAACACATTTTTTGGTATTGCACTCATTGTTCAGATGTGGCCTAGTGAGAACGCTGGAGGGCAAAGGCAGAGGGCTGGGAGCGAGGAGGGATCTGACAGTGATAAATAGGCCTTTTAATAACAGCTGTGCCACTTGGGCAGCCATTCTGATCCATTCCCATCCAAGCCAGTCCCATCCTCCTCCTTCCCTCCATTACAATGAGGGAGCAAATTTACATACTGCAGCGATGACTTGGTATTTTATCCTTGATTTAAAAGAAAAAGCTTTGCATGTGGACTTAGTACATACATCTTCAGAAATGTGTCCGAAGTAAAGCGTTGCTGTTAATTTTGATGGTGTGAATCCTCGAAAAGAAGGGGGCATAAACAAAACACAAACACTCACTGCACCTCGCAGTTTAACAGATGGTTTGGTTAACTGAAACATCAATTATTGCATTGCCTTGGCAGGCGTGTGAGAGACTCCAGAGTGTGTGTGCACGTGTTAGTCCTGTAGGATATGAGTGTTTGGTGAGCTGTTGACCTGGAGGAGAAAAGGGTTAATGCTACACTCCTCAGAACAAGCCCACAGGGCATTGGTCCGCATCAGCAACAGATTTCAGCACAGCATGCTCACATTTGTGGGAACACTGTGGATTAATTCTGACGTCATTTAAATAACCATTTTTGTGTGTGATACTTTAAAGCAAACACAGTGAAATGCAGTGTTTTTCATCATCTATGCTGTCTTGTATTCTGTTATCAGTGTATAGTTTTTAAATCCTCCTTTATTGATGATCAGCTTTGATGGCTTGCTTAAGTGTAAGCTCTAGTATTTGCAATGATAACTTTAATCATTTTCCCAACTGTATGTGTCTCTTTTCCCCCGAAGTACTTCAATACAATGAATGAACAACGCATGAATGGACTGCTGCCGGACCCTCTGCAGATTTTTCCAAGAGGTATGCAGTGGCTTCTTACAGTTTTTCATAGTTGGTATGCTGAGAGGCTCAACACATCCTCGATATTAATGTGGTAACATTGAATAACAAGCAACATTGAAATATAATTCACACAAATTCTTAAACTTCTGCAGATGTTCGGCTGAATCACTTATGTTTAAAGGATATCAAAATGAAAGCATTCGTTAGCTTGACGTAATATGCAGCCTCTGGACAAAATTAAAAGTCATTGGCTCATTCTGTTACTGTGTTGACAGTCATTTATAAATCTACATTTATTTTTCTCCAAGGACATCAAAACTGCAAACTCGCATTCAGGCATAGCCTCGTTCAGGTCTCATTCCACATTGTGTAGTTTCTGTCTTGAGACGGTTTTTCCCTTGAGTGCTCCTTCACATATTCATACACTGTAGTTTCTCACCTCTTAAAAGCATACATAATCTCCAAAAGCCCTTGTTGGCAAAGTGGCGAAACATTTTATTGCCTCTTTTTCATTATTTGTCCAACACATTGCTGTAGGTTTTTTTCTTTCTTCCTACCTACCGCCACCTGTCTCAAGAGCCCAACATCTCAATCACTCCTTTCCCTACAACTTATTTCAGAGTAACCCTCGTTTCATTTCATCTTTTTTTTTTTTCTTTATAAAGAACTGATTCCTTTTCAGCACATTTGTAAATGGCCAAGTGATGTGTTCTACAATCTAGTCAATTACTGTTTCAGCCGGCAAGACTCCAGGGATCCGGAACATACATGGCCTGAAGGTACCTATCTCAATAATTGTTTCAGCTGCCTTACACAGAGAGCTCGGGGAAGGAGGGAGGGAGGGAGGGAGTAAAGTTGAGCCAAATGGATTGGTAACGCTGTGTTCCACTTATTGAAATGTCAATTGAAGTCAAGGCTCTCCTTTGCTTTCACTCATTTTCTTGTGCTCCTTGTCTATGTTTATGTATGGGGATGGCTGGCTGTGGCTGTCGCAGGGCTTGTCTCTTTTCTTCTCCGTCTCCCCGTGTTCTTGTTTCTTATGCTGGGAGAGTCATTAAAGAACAAGGTGTTATAGCTGAAACCTTGATCCCTCCCTCTAGAGTATTACGATCCCCTCGTTCTACATCATAGGGAGCACTTCAGTGTTGGTTAAAGCCAAAACCAAGTAAATACGAAGATGTCATTGTTCAACTGTGAAATTGTCATTACAAGCCGCCCTCTGCCATTGACAAAGGGCCTACCACAGACCTTCCTGTTTTATGTATGGCATATGTTGCCATTGAAGCTCATTGCTAATCACCATGGGTTAAATGACTTGACACCCCCTCCATCTCTCCAGATGATCCATATAAGATCCATCTCCATTTCAATAATAAAATTACCCTCTCCACAATACTCAGTGATTTATTCAATGTATCCTCAAAGGAGCTTTGGTAAAAACTACTGAACTGTTTCAGTTTTCTTTAAGGTCAAGGGTCTGTTTTGAGAAAATTATGTTTTCTGAAAACCTCTAGTCCTTCTGTAATCTTTCCCCTCTTTTCTCCCGTTTTAATGTAAAAGTAATTGGCTTAGGGGAGTCTTGTGCACTGTTTAAATTAGGTCTTCCTGGGCACTAATTAAAGAGAGAATCCCTGTGCCTTGGTGGACCCATCACAGCGGCCTTTTGACCTCAATTAAATTAGTTATTTTTAGTATCCCTCTATTCAGGCCCTTGTGCCTTCTTTTATGCACGGCATCTGGGTTGAATAAAGAAATCTTTGGAGTAAACAGAGATGCAGATGAAAGGAAATTAATAAAATATCTCTAGTGAAGCCAAGAAATGTAATTTTGAAAATTCCAGACCGTTCCTTGCTCAAATCTGTTTTATCTGCTGCATTTCTAGTGTAAAACCATGTAGCTTTACGGTCATGCAAATATGTGTTTTCCTCTCCCTCATTTTATTCCGCTCCCTGTCATCTTTTCCTCTCCTCTATGTGGACACCTCTTTCTTTCTCCTCCTGCCTCCCTTCGCTCCTGCAGAAGCCAATTAACCTTCAGGCTGAACTGAGAGCTTGTGTTTTGTTCTTGTTCATTAGGGGGTCTAGCCATATGTCTGTCTGTCTGCCTGTCTTTTGGCCTTGACCACTAAACGTGTGCCTGTGTCGTGCGTGTTCTTGCTCAGTTTCGTGTTTGTGTTTGTACCCCTTCAGGTTAATACAAGACCTAACCCAGCCAATGACGGCACGCATGCTGTCCCAGACTCAATGGCCAACAACAGGTGAGCTTGCTGGGGGGCATGGGGAGGACGTTTTGTTACCTGGAATAAACTACAACTGGATGTTTGTTTGATCAGGAGAAACATGTTTTGTTATACTTGCTTTAGTGCAACCTTGTTGTGTTCCTTCCTCCAGTTTAAAGAAGTCATCTGCTGAGCTGAAAAGGATCTTGACAAATGGGCAGGTGAGTCTGTGTTTTTGGCTTCAAGTAGAATCTGACCGCTGTTATCTTTCTGCTCCTGCTCTCACACCTGGTTTCACCTGATTAGAGCACATTCTCACCAGTGTTTGACTCCTCTATTGATTTTCTGTGCTGCCAACTGTGGGCATGTTAGACAGAGTGTATTTGGTGGTTGTCTCTTCACTAAAACACACACACACACACACACACACACACACACACACACAAGAGTGGCTAGCATGTGAGGGAGACAATTAAGCCGTGGCCTTTTAGGTTCCTGCTATAACACAGTGAACTAATAGAGCTGTTCTTTCTCCTCCAGCTCTTCATCTATCTCCTCTCATTCGCTTCACTTCCCCTCCTCGCTCATGCTAGCAAACAAGCTAGGTGAATTTGGGGGGGGTGAAGGAGGTGGGGGGTTCATGTTTAGATGTAAGATGCGATGTGCATCTTCTGTATGGGAAGCCTTGCTTTAATATCTTTTTTTTTTTTTTTTGCCATTATGTCGGCAACAGTGTGAACAACAATATTTCCAAACAAACTGGACTGACAGGGTGCTGTACGTCTGCTACAAGATTCAATACTACATAAACAAATGATTTATTCATGTGTTAACCTCAATGCTCCTGTGCAGCATGGATTAGGACAATTATCATATACAGATTATTGACTGGATCCTATAAATGATGTCCATTTTGCATGCAGAAAAAAAAAACAAGGTGTTTAATTCATGGAAAGTTTTTTTATGTTATCTTTGTGGACATGAGAGAAATTATAGAACACCAGAACATTTATCATTTTATCAACTAAAAAAATAACTTATTATTAATTATTTAACCAAAATATTTAAAATAATGTGCCTTTTCATTTGAAAAAGTCTATTGTATCATCCTTGTCTTTATTTTTATATGGAAGGTTTTGGTGGCAGAAAATAATTGAATATATTTTTTGAACATTTCGACCAATATATATCTTTATCCTTTCAATTACAGAATCAACAGAATACATTCACACATAGCAGAGTACTAAATATTGAAATTATAAAGGGTAAAGACTTGAGGAGTCTTGTCTTTTATTTTTTATATTTATGATTATACACACAATATCATCAGGCATTACAGTTACAACTTAAGAGTTTTTACAATTTTAATGCCAGATCCTTCAGTGCTTTTAAATATTCACATGGGCTCAAACTGAATCAGAACTACAAGCATATGTTGGCTCTCTGTTCATACATACAGTACATAATGTTTCTATCAGCATGCATAAGGCTAATAGACCTCACTGTTAAGTCAGGCTTTTTCAGGGTACTTGACACCTTTCTATCAAAGTGGAGTGGAACAACGACGGCAACAAATTGTCATTTAACTCTGCATCAGTCACTCCCCCACTCACACAGCACAGTGTCCTTTTATAAATTGGACAGCAAATGTTGTATTGATCTCCTCCCTGTGTCCCTCTCTTTTCTCTCCTCATGTTGCTGAACTTGGAGTGACCTGAATGCTCGTCTTGTTTATAGCCTCCAGTGACAATATTGTATTCCAACCCCCTATCACCAGCTCCCCTCTCTTTACTAAAATCCACTGGTTGCATGTCTTGTCATGTTATAACATCTAAGTACCAACATTGTATACATGTGTTTGCTGCAGATAAATGCCCAAGATATCCACTATCAAGAGCAGCTTGGCCATGGAAACGGAGGAACAGTTTACAAGTAAGTGTTTCCTGACTTCACACATCTAGGTGCCAACATAACAAGGCCACAGCACAATAACAGAAAACTGACACTAAAGAGATAACTAGTCTAGCAAGTGAGACAGTCTGAAGGATGTATTCAGGGTTATTGAAGCGTCTATACAGTACAGTGCAAATATTAAGGGAGATTTCCTGAATTCTTGACTATTCCAATTATAGTTCAGCCTTTTTTTTTGACTTATCAGTCAAGGTCCCCACGATCCAAATCCAGTAAAAGATTAGATCAGATCTAAACACATTGCATCTTTAAAAAACATTGGATTGCTTCAAAAAAAATGACCCCATTTTCCAATATTCAATTGTATTCTCTGTACTAATCCCTGACCTTTCAATTGACTCGTCATTTGACCAATTAGACCCTTCCATTCACAGTTCCTAGGCCTCTATAGCCAAATAATAGTAAAAACGGGACTTTCTTCCTCTTGCCTCCATGGTCTGCGTTATATACGTGAAACAGATGTGTCAGTTGAATAAAGGGATAACAACACACACAGAAGTCTCATCTCTTCGGAGAGTCAGGAGCAAATGAGGTCAACTGACTTGAGCTAGCGGAAAAAGGTAAATTCAAGTAAAGGCAATAACGTTAACAGAAACCAAATTGAATGGAAGTTGAACGTTTTCGATAATCATTTTCAGATTAATGGCCACATTAAAAATGTGTAAGAAAATGAACGCCATTAATTAACGGATCAACAGACTTGTGCTCAGCTCTGGTGGGGTACAACATTGTTCACCATCTTTACTCTGCTCCTTCATGTGTCCATTTATCTCTCAGTGTTTGCTGTGACATCTATCAGGCTGCTTTGTGTCTGTAGCTGCATTTATTTATTCTAGGTTGAAGGTTGCCAACATATATGATATTGATTTGGGGCTGTAAGCTATGACAGCAATTGACCTAATCTGTCTATAGTGGAGCACATTACCTGCCACGATAGAAGAGCTCCATTCTCTCTGGCTAGACAAATGTATTACTGGCCTGCTAACGTTATGACAAGGTTGGCATTTGTGTCGCTCCTTCAATCCTCCTTTTCCCCACCTTATGTTTCCCCCTTCCCATCAATCCTTAGCTATTGAGCTGTTTTATTGAGATTGAAGTATTGATCACTGCTCAGACTAACCTTGACTTGACAGAGTGGTCTGCCTCACACATTTGCTGGGCAACCCAGTAAATTTCCAATCTAGCAAATCCACAAGACTGTATTTTTTTATATTCATCCCTTTTCCCACGCACCTTTTTACAGTTTTACGACTTTAAGATGGTTACATAAAGAGCCAATCTCTCATAGATGTAGGATAGAAAGATTGCTGATAAGTTTGGCCCTAGAAATGGTTACACTGCAGCAAGGAATGCCAATAATGCAAGCCCAACAACTTCTCAGCCAATTTAGCCCAGTGAAAAATCCATACGCTTTGGTGCTGAAATTTTATGGTTGGATGGAGAAGATAAAAAATAAATTTGAAAAAACAGCCCAGTTGTTTAAGCTATTTTGTGGTAGATAGTTTCTATTATATTTCTATTGTATCTCAGATATATCTTGTTAAGTGAACTAGCTGATATACCCAAAACATTTTCTTTACCAGCTTGAACAAATGCTGTGTCCTCAATTCATAATAAACATTAATTCTACTTTTTATAGTTGTAGTTTGTTCTTGTCTTTACTTTTAAAATCTCCCCAAAACAGTCACTTTGAAAACAAAAAACTCATTCTGACAGTGCTAAAAAAACTTTTTAACAACATCTTGATTTGTCACAGCTGAGACAAATTTGGTTTACAAGTTGAATGACATTGCTTGGTTTTACCAAGTGTCCAAGTTGGGCATGACCTTAACACAGCGCACACAATACCAGGACCCTGAAATGATCTCACTTAACCTGAAATGATTCATTTCAATGTATGCAAGTACACTTTACTTTCCCCCCCCATTAAATACTATTACGTGTAATATTGTTGTGTACGAATTGGAGGACGATGCATCAGGTTTGAGAAGCTTTGATTCATGACTTAAAATATCAGAAATACCGAAACATGCGCAAAAGGTCTTTTCAAAGTCAGTTTCTTTCTTATTGACATTATTTATGTTTGAATCATTATCAAGTTTTTTCTCTAGTAACCAGAAGGTCTATGTCTGTATTGAATTTATGATAGCCACGGTGTCTCCTGGACAAAGGACACTGTCCATTTAAGGAACTGTTTTATTTGCTACTTTGTCCTCCAGAAATGTCAGAGTTGAGGTCAAACATTTCGCAATCCTTCAGGACAGCTAAGGCGATCCTTTCTATGCATCAACAAATGCTTTTCGGTAACTTCAAGGCTGCCATAATTAAATCTCCAAGCCAATCATAAACATATATTCTACAATATATGTTTATATATGAAATTTATATATTCTACCACCAAAATTCCAACAGCTACATCCTTCCTGGCCTTAGTTCTGCTCCTTCGCTGAGAGTCAGCAGTATTTTAGTATGTTCAAGCTGTGTTCTTCGCGGCCTCTGCAAATATATCAAAGAAAGTCATCTTTGATTCCACTCAACTAATCTCCAAAATGCTCCGCAATATGTGACTGTCCGGATGCTTCTACATAATTGATTAGCAAAACCTTTATGGAAGAAACATCCAAAACACCTTGATTTATTTCTTTAAGTCAGCTTCACCAAACACTATTTACGGTATCAGCTGTTATAATATTGAATGCATAAGCACAGAAGGCCCTGCCTGTTTCTTGTGTGCTCATAAACCAATTGTCCGTTCCCCTCAGCCTCTACCCTTTGGTACAGCTTATATTAGGCTTATCACGTGTAAAAAGCACTACCAAACGTTCTCCACCTTTTAACCTCTTAGCCCATTTATGACCCAAAGCCATTTAGACTCAATTGGATGTTACCAACACCTCAGCTCTCTATAGCCACTCGCTGACCCAGCCATCCATCAATGTCGGCCCTTGTTTTTTATTACTCACTCTCTCAGAGGTCCATATTGTCCACCAATCTAACTGACTCTATGGCTTATAAATACAATAACAAGGACAAAAAGGCCATTTTCGTGACTCATGGATCCAGCAGTCCAATTAAAACCAGCACATTTGCCTGGTTGTTACTGTGGCGACATGTACTTAGACAACCATGGTTGCTCCTTTAGTCTTTGGGCCCATTTTGTCCATTGATTTTGTTTTTGTACCGTATTGATTAGACTGTATACTAAAGGACCAAACACCTTTGGTTAATTGGTTGTGAGCAAGTGTTAGATGATTAAGACGCCCTGTACATCACTTAAGATACATTAAAATACAAGCCATGATTTAGATTTACAAAACAGGATGTTTTCGTACTTCACTAGCTATAATATCATACATCAGCACTGCACCAATATGTACATGCACAATGTATTTGTTCTGTCAATTTCAGTCAAAACCTAGGTTTCCTTCATCAGTCTACAATTAGTAATAGTTAAGTAGGTTCACAGTGAAAAGCATACTAAAATCAACCCATGTGTCTCTTATCAAAGCATCTCTAAAACTAATGCGACTGTCATAACATGGACAGTTACCATATTAAATAGAAATGAAATACTTGACTTTACAGTGGAAATTAAGCTTACATTTTCTGATGGTTAAAACCTACAAATGACTTGTGAAGCCTTCTCAGAAAAAAAACCGTATGGTCTAAAAAATCCACTGTTTAGTGCTTAACAGCCTCAAGCGAGATAATTATGAAATGATTATGATTCTAAATGATTGTTTGAGTATTTACTATTCACTCGAGGTTAGTTTGACTCATTGTTCCAATTTATACATCTTAAATGGGTCATTGTGCAAACCTTGAAACAAACACTACAGACATGATAAAAACACATGCAGAAAGAGAATGAACTTCTGCTGTGACACGCAACAAAGTTGGTGTTGCAAGATGTACAACATTTTCAGTTGTTTATGTCCTTGCCTGTTGTCATGCCACCAGTTACTTTAACAGCTGTTACATTACCTGGAGATATAAGGGCAACTTCAAAGAATAATGAGTGACATCAATATTTACCTACATAATGGCATGTACACCATTTTCTACAACAACAAGAAATTATGTGCTTTTAAACATAACTTAGGGAGAAGCAGAGAGGAAGTAGAGTAATTTAAAGACACAAAGCAAACCAAGCAGCCAAAGAGATGTGCCGTTGTCATTTCTTTCTTGGCCACAAGAGGCCTGAACTTAAAAGTGATGGTTAAGCCACTCTTTGTTATTTGGGTTTCAGCCTGGCTCTGTAAAAATTGGGAATAATTAGCAGGGTTTTTATGTATCTGTGTTTTACTGTGACTGTGTTTAGAGACTCATTGTAGCCATATAAGGTGAAGGAGTCAGGGAGGGAAAAAAGGACGCCCATGTGATCACCTATGTGACGGTGTAAAAGTACCACGTTAGCCCTGATCCATGAGGCCAGTCTCTCTAACCCATGGCCCCAACTTCAGAGACATAGAGAGAGGCCCTATGAATACTGCATGATGGAGCTTTTATTACAGAGCGAGCTGGAGTGTAAATAAGATCTAGGCAATGGGGCACATTTACTGGGGTCAGATCAGGTGGAAGTGGTGGAGGGTGTGATAGGGGAAGGCGGGGGCTATGTAACCTTGTCCCCATGTCTCCTGCTGTCACAAGCCTGTCACTGTAACTCATACAGGGATGCACAGCCCTGAGGCGGTCAAGGACAGTCTGAGTATAAAGCTTTAACCTTGCAGAAGTCACATCGTATCTGCAGTCTTTCAAGATGCCCTCAAAACAATTCACTTTTTAAAAGTCTTGTTTATCCAATATTGAGCTGTTGTCTTTTTTTTTGATCATGTTATCTTTACCCAAATATGCAGAAAAGAAGAAATACAGCAATAGGTTTAACAAACAGATTTAAGGCTTCCTATGATGGTACATCAACTGAAACTGTCACTTGTTAAAGCTGTTGTTGGGTCACTTTCTTTTGTGTCTAGACAATGAATGATAACAACAAGTTGTTAAGCATGAAGCATAGGACTTGTTTTTATCTTTTTTTCAAGCTGCTTCAAACAAACAACCTGCCCAGTCACTACTTAAAATGTCTACCCCTGCGATCTTGCCTCAATTAACATTTTCATTTTAATTAACAGGCGGCAGTCATGCTTAACTGCTATTGATTGTAGCTTAAAGGAAGACCCAGACATCAAAATGGAAACAAGGCAATCAGCCTTCTGTGCAAGGATCGCTGTTCTCGAAAAGGTTACTCTAAATATACAAAACGCTTACCTGAATTCTTGGGGGCAAAATAAAATAACACTGGCCACTTAAATCAGAGAAAGGGGCTTGGTCCCAGAAGTCAAACATACTAAGTATCTTTTGTTATTTCATACGGTGTAGTTCCTCTGTTTTACATTCATCTTAGCTACCTGATGGCTGAAAGAACTTTTCATGTGTCTTAAAACTGATTTAGCTGAACGATGTCTTTTTTTATTCCAACTATAGTGAACCTCCAAGGTGTAATATCTAACAGAAGGAATGGTTGAAAAAAAAAAATCATCTTAATTATGTTTGTCCTTGCTACAAACTGTTAAGTTAAGGAATAATTGAATATGTCTGATGTCTTGGTTTTTCTAGGCAGTTGGAAGTGTAAGAAGTCTCACTTAAATTATCACCATGTTAAATAGTTATTTAAAAGATTGTGTTCAAAAAATGTAATGACTTGTTTTCTTTTTACTGTAGTACTTGAAAAAGAACTGTGACATACCTGAATACTTTTTTAGCGGTTCAAAGGTTTGTGATTTGGTGTGAGGACAACAATCTGGTCCTGAATGTTTAAAAAACACAGAGGAGATGGTGTTTGACAAAACTATCAAACGGGTCTCCTCGTATAAATGCCTTGGCGTTGATATTGGCAATGGACTGACCTGGGACACACATGTAGACATTCTGTAACAGATTACAACAACGGTTACATTTCTTACATGGTCTGAGAGTTCATGGTGTTGATCGGAAAAGTATGTTTAGCAGTCTTAGAGAGTCTAATCTCAAAGAGTGTGGGGTCACAGCGTGGTTTGGCAACTTGTCTGTGCAGTTAAAAACAAATTTACAAACTGATCCGATTGATTCAACCTATATGGCAAATTATGGGAGCTAAACTTCACACGTCTGCAGACTGTTTTTGAACAGACTGCTGAAAGGCAAGCCAATAAGATTGTCAGTTACCCGTGACATGTTCTTCATACAGAGTACGAGTTCCTGCCCTCTGGTAAGACATTCACAGTTCCCCGTTGTAGACTGAAAAATAAGGCTTTTAAATAGTGGCAAACAACACAGGATAGGCACTGGACTATAATTTGTCTTTGGGTTTTTGAACTGGTATTTTAAGCACCTGAAGTTATTTATATTCTTGTTTTTTTCTGGACATTATTTAATAATGTTAATTGTTTAACGTTTAATGTAAATTATGTTGATTTTTGTCTTTTTATGGCTGCAGCATGGGTGAAGAGCCCGATACAAATGTCTCACTTTGTGAGACAATAAAGTGAATCTTGATCTTAATGATATTGTTATAAATGACACGTGCACAGCATTGCACAACGACAGTCAGAGAACTGTTGGTTTTAACTGTAGGTGAATACCTGATGTGGCACTAATAGGTCTCTTTAATTAAAAGCCTTGGCCAGTTTTAAGGTGTCTAGCCGAAGAGCAATGTGATACTCACACACATAATCACACCTAGCGCCATACATATTCTCTCTGGAAGACCCGCTGACAGGTGAGTAGCCAGGTATCACATTCACTCAGTCTGCTTGCAAGCTAACCTGCGTGTGTGACGTACATGGCCCCCACCTCATCCCACTCACCTGACAGCTGTCGGACAGAATTTGTCCTTGAGGATTGTATGTTGAGAGGGCTAGAGGTATTGTCACTGGTGCTGTAAACTAACCTTCAAGGGCTGTAACTAAAGCCGATGTTTGGCATTAAGGAGTTTGATAATTAAATCATTACGAAGGCCGGTCTGTGGCTGCTGCTCTACGTGCAACTCAAAACTCTGTCTGGAACAAACGGAGATAAGGATAACTTGTTCTGGTTTTAGGTGGTGACGTCTGACCTCTAGGAGAAATATTTTTGTTGTTGTGTACAAGTAGATGCTGCTTGAACTCAGAAGATTAAGACACTTGTGGGGCTTTAACTGCATTGTTAGTAGTATTCTTTCTTTGCCTTTACATTGACCTTCATCACAATGTTTTTTTTGCATGCTTTGTTACACTAACAGTTTGAGCATGTTGATTAAAAGCCTATTCATTTACTGCTCATGTCAGAATAGGGACATGACATCTTTTTTGGTGATTTAGTGTGTTACAGTGTGTGGCTGTTCTTGATGAAGGGATATGCAGTACTTTAAATTATATTAGAGCTCCAAGCTTTGAGGATTTTTGAAAATCAAAAGCCAAATGTTCAGGATGCAATTGAAAAGGGAAATTAAGCAGCAAAGAGTAACATCTAACTACAGTTTTAATTTATATTATGTGTCTTTCCCCCCCAGAGCGTATCATCTTCTTGGCAAGAGGGTTTTAGCTGTGAAGGTAAGAACTCCTAACATAATGATCATATTTATTCTTCAATAAGTGTCACACAATCTTGTCCAACCCATCACATATCAACAGAACTTGTTCACATTTCCCCCCCTCATGTTTGATTGCAGGTCATTCCTCTGGATATCACAGTGGAGTTACAGAAGCAGATTATGTCAGAACTAGAAATTCTCTATAAGGTGAGTTTGCGCCTTTTAGCAAAGACATTTATCTCTGCTTTACTGAATGTCGATGTCCTCCCTGATCCTCACTGTTAATAAACCAAGAGTCTGACCAAAGAAGTGTCATTTATCGCCTCTGGTCTTACAATTTAAGCCGAGGTCGGATCAGCGATACATAGACACTTGAACAACATACACATGGACCGGCCATGTGAGGTAACTGATCACTGTCTGAGTTTGTTTCCACGCTAATGTTGATTAAATGGGAGAATGTATACCTACCCAGACTTAGCGTAAGTGTCTTGATTCTGAACATTAGGGGGAAAAAAGCTAATGACCCTGAAAGGGAAGAAAAATCAAGTAACCTGAGTGCTGTGTGTATTAATGCGTTGGCCCATGGCCCTGTTTTACTCAGCTAGCCTTCTTCCAATGCCGCGTGTGTGGAATGAAATCGCAAGTCAATGTGTCTTTCCAAACTCAAACAATGAATGGACTTGAGCACTGACAAAAATCACTTGAGCATGACTTAACGCATGGTAATGTAATCACTTTTGGCTGTATGATATATCATGCAACTTACTGAAAAACCCCCCCAGCAAGAAAAAGATAGATTTTGGAAGTGTCCGACCACAAAACGTCAAATCCTCCCACTTAAAAAAACACATGAACTTGCTTTAATTTATTTGGTGCAGGATGAGTCCACAAAAGAGTGTTCACATACAAAGAGTAGCGCACCACTGTAATTGGATAAACATTTCAAACTACCTTTCCCCGCCATTTTTGTGTGACTTTCTTGATAGTTCAAGCGTAGTGAAGGCAAAGTAGGCCTTCTAATTATTTTAATTGGTTCAAATAAAATGATTTCTTTGTTGTTCTTGTGCAACAAATCATTTCATGTATTTCTAGCTGTTGAGGTGTGAAGATATTTTGAGCAAATCTCACAAAAAATTGAATCCCTAAAATGTGCAAAGCCTTTCTTTAAATTCCTAATGCAGATGATGGTTGCAGAAATTGTTTTGAATCGCAGATGGCTTCGTAAATTCTCTCTGTTGATCACATTCTTTCTTCTCTTGATTTCAGTGTGATTCACCTTACATCATTACTTTCTTCAGTGCCTTTTTTGTAGAGAACAGGATATCCATATGCACAGAGTTTATGGACGGTGAGTATCTCCATGGCTAAAGCTCATAATTTGCTTTGACTTTGTTCTCCACAGCTGTTCAGGAGAGACTTTAGGGAACTGTCCTCCGTCTCTCTGCTGTGTACCCATTTACACTTCTGCAGATCAAAAGAGCGGCTTATCGCTGTGAGCTGCTTAGCATGCCTCGTGTGCTAAAAGCTACAAGGGTGTGATAAATCTTGACTTAAGTGCATTTGTAGATGCGTTTGTATATGTGTGTATCTGGAATGGTGTGAGATGAGGGACTATCTTATGTTTTTTAAGGTGTGTGTGTTTGTCCATGTGTGTGGTAATGCAGTGAATCCCCTGTTTCACACATTTGTCATCAAAGTCCGTCCAACCTCTCAGCACTCTTTACTTCATAAAACTTTTCTTGGACCAGTCAGGGCCGCTTGTACTCGATTATTGCAAACAAGAAGTGCCCATGTTTGACAGCATCAGAGACAACAAAGACTTTGTCGTTTTGATTCATTGATTCGACAAATTCAAGTCTAATTATTGAAGTCTCGTAGTGGAATAATAAAAACATTTAATATGTTGAATGTGATATGTTTTAAATACATGGAATGAGTTTCCAAAACAAGACATTAAATAATTCCTGAAACATATTGCACACCCTTTTGGTAATGTACAAATTCATATTTTTCTGCCTGTATATATTTTTAATTGTTTTAGGATTAGATATTTAGACTTTGAATTTGTTTGCTTGTTTCTGTGGTTGGAAGTTCCTCTGCAGCATCCAGGGGGCTTTCTTTCAAACTATAAACTATGTAAACAATAGTGAGAATTTACTGTTGAAGAGAATGACAGGCTCATGGGAAAAGCTGGGACCCAGAAAGAATTTCTAGCAACATTTCTGTTCTGATATTGTAGTTTTACAACTTGTGTGGCCAACATGCAAGTGGCTTTGGGTTGTGCACAAAGGTCATTCACCATTTAGTCAAATTCATTTTTCAAAATATGTTATGTGTCTGTAATGATAAGTTATTTTTCTTTTGCAGGCGGTTCCCTTGATGTGTACAAAATAATTCCAGAGCATGTGCTGGGGAGGATCGCAGTCGCTGTGAGTATTTAACCATCTCAAAATGTCCCCGTTATTGGATTGCAGATTAAACAAAGCTTTTGTGTGCCTTGGGGTTTTATTGAAAATGTATTTATGTGTGTAATTTAATAAATTACAGTTTCCGTTTGAACTGTTTTTGTTTGTTAAATACTGAGCAGCTCTAAAGAGTAAACGTATTTATTTTAGTCATGACATTCAGATAAAAGAATCACAGGTGTGAATTTTTCAATTAGCCTCTTCTTGGTGAAGTGACACACTCAGTAATGTTTTACTCTTTCTTTCTCTGTTTCTACTACCTGTTTAAACTAGAATTTGATAAGAAATGGCCTTGATGTTGATAAATGTACGTCTCTTTTCCACACTCATCAACCTTCCCGTCTCCACCTCCTTCCGTCTGTCTCCCCCCTTTAACTTTGTCCGTAATCAAACAATGACAGCTATTTAGTCAGTGTTAATTGTAATTCACAGCTTTCCCTCTTTTCCACTGTCACAGTTGTTAATTATCTCAGAAAGCAAAGCACCCAAGAGGGTGTGAGTGAAGCTGCACTTTGCAGTTGTAACACTCTTCCCGCAACCTTTTGAGGCCGCTGGACTTCAGAGAGCTTTTTTCTTCCTTATTTTATCTCTAGAGCATGTGGTTCTTCAGAGATGTATGACAGGAGCCTAGGAACAACAATCAGCTTTGATATCCCATAAAAATGAAAAAATAAATCACCACATTGCAACTGTTTGTAATGTGAAAAATTATTTATTTGGTTGGTGTATGAATACAGCTTCAAAATGGAATCTTATGAGTACAACTGACAATAGAGTTACAAGAAGCCACTCCCCTTGACTCCTCTCACTCAGTGTTACACACAACAGCTCTCAGGAGAGTCAGAAAGACACCCTTATTTCTTGCTCTGGCAAACTCAATGAGTTCTTTCAGTACTCTGGGTTGTTTGTGTCTGCAGTCTTATTAAGTTTGTGACAATTCATCAGGACCACAATATTTTGTCTGCACATTTTAGAGTCCCTTGACACCATTTTGGACATTTCACACAATTTCAGAATCTCTGTGTTATTTAGGATCAAAACTAGCTCATTTCATCTGCATCCTCTGATTGAGGGAATACTTTACTAATACAAATAAATAAATGGTGGATATTTTTTTGTTGTCAAATTGTAGGCCATCAGCAGAATAGAGAAAAAACTGAATGCATAAATGGAAAAATTGACATTGTATTGTTGGCAGTCCAAGATAACGGAATACTTAATCAGTGCCTCAGTAATTAGGCTGTATGTGGAAAACTGGGCGATCTGAGCACACCCAGGTACATATCTATATATGCTGGAACACCTAAATGTAAGGTTTTAAAATGGACAAAAAAAAGACTTACCAGCTAGGAAGAAAACGATTAATGACGGGAAGTGGTCACAACCTTTGGTCCTCATTTTTAAAAAAAAGATTAACGAACTAGGTTTACAACTCAAAAAGTGACATCAATATAATATCAAGAGAGACGCAGGAACCACCCTGACTGCAGACAGTAGCAGGAACCAAACTTGTCAGCATTTAAGCGCTGACCACCTCAATGACATGTAAACAAAAACCGCGTTGTGAAGTGTAAACAGGGTTGTTGTACCTGTGTGTGTGTGTGTGTGTGTGTATATATATATATATATATATATATATATATTATACAATATATAAAATATAATTTAAAAATAAGGTGCAATGTAGGAGCTGTACAGTGGACATACGCACAGAGTGCATGTAAGGAAGATACATTTTTAAAGTCCAGTGGGCGTTAATGAGTTATTAATGAGATGAGTTATTCAGTCACTTCTGCTGGTGACTCCTTGCCTTGTCTCTGAAGTAATACAACTTATTTTATTCTGCGTGTGTCTCCAGGTAGTCAAAGGCCTGACGTATCTGTGGAGCCTGAAGATACTTCACAGAGGTGAGTAAAGTTGTTAGCTGGCTATTTGTTATTTAAAAAAAATCAGAGTTGATGAAGACAGGACACACAGTGCTGAAGTTGCAGTTCTATCAAGCAGTTTGTCTCCACAGACGTCAAGCCCTCCAATATGCTGGTGAACACCCGGGGACAAGTCAAGCTCTGTGACTTTGGTGTCAGTACACAGGTACACTGATTTGTTTGTGAGAGAGAGAGAGAGAGAGAGAGAGAGAGAGAGAGAGAGAGAGAGAGAGAGAGAGAGAGAGAGAGAGAGAGAGAGAGAGAGAGAGAGAGAGAGAGAGAGAGAGAGAGAGAGAGAGAGAGAGAGAGAGAGAGAGAGAGAGAGAGAGAGAGAGAGAGAGAGAGAGAGAGAGAGAGAGAGAGAGAGAGAGAGAGAGAGAGAGAGAACTACAGACACATCACTACAGACCTGTGCAATCTCTCTCTCTCTCTGTGTGTGTGTGTGTGTGCGCGCAAATGGTCAACCTGTCAATCACTTCATTCATTTTCGACTCACATCAGCGCTATCCCAGGGGTCTTCCTCTCACATTAACTTCCCCCCCCCCCACCTCCATTGTTCTGCAGCCTCCGAAAAAAATCACTTGTTATAATTATGACCCGCACACACAACTGCAAAGCCTCATTGATATGTATTCAGTGGATGTGGGGGAAAGCGTGGGTGGCAGACAATAGCCCAGTCATTGTGTGACTGTGTGTGTGTCACAGAGTGTGTTTGTAATGTAATCATCAGGGACAGACCTTCAACGCTCCCCAAAACATCAACCCTGAGGACTCTGTCCCCCTCTACACCCCACACACACACACCTTCCCTTCTGTGGTAAATTGTTATTCATTTTTAACCTCCACTTCCCGGGAAGCTCCAAGGTGAATTTGACACCCTGAATGTGTAACACTTTTAACACACACTGACTCGCCCTTTGTTTTTGTAACTCTATTTTTCTGTTTACCCCCTGTTTCACACAAACACACTCCCTTCCCCTCTCATGTTGTGCTTAAAAAAACCATAAGGGAACAGACACTCATTATCACAGCCCTCTCATTGACGGCATGTGCCATTGTATCCACAGACGCACTAATGCCTCCTTGTCTCTCTTGTGTCCCCCTGTGAGGGTTGAGAGCAGCCTAAAATATCAACCTGACATATCGATACCTGAAAAAAATATAATTTAGCTTCCTGTCTTATTCATCCTTAAATGCTGGGCAATGACGTAGTGACTCCTGAAGTTATTTATTTCTTTTAAAGTGCTGTGTCATTGTCAGTTGATTTGCCTTGATATGCTTAATAATTATTGTACATGTTTTATTCATCTGTCTTGCAGTTAGTGAATTCCATTGCCAAAACGTACGTGGGAACTAACGCATACATGGCGGTGAGTGACCCCTTTAGTTCGGACGCTTGTGAAATAATGTGTTACTATTAAGTACGGTATATAACTGTAAATTACTGTACATCTTTAAAGATATGTTTATGTTTTTGATTCACAGCCAGAGAGGATATCAGGGGAACAGTACGGGATCCATGCAGATGTCTGGAGTGTGGGAATCTCTTTCATGGAGGTACAACAATTTACAACGTGCTCAGTGCTCGAAAATGACACATTTTCTACAGTGAGAAGTGAGGTTCATTCATGGAAACGATGCTGAATTCAAACTAAATGTGTCTTTTTGAAGTTAGCTATCATGCACCTCACATGGGTTATATTGTATTTTATTTCTGCTTGTTGCTCATTTGCTGCCTTCAAATAGGGTCTTATTTTCCTTGAACGGCGTAGTCTGTATGAACAATCCCCTCATGCAGTTCTCACTACCTCATAACCGGACATTTTCTGAAAGCTGACGCCACAGCAGTAATTCTCTTATTAGATGCTAAGTCAATCTATCGTAATGTTACACATATTTAGAGTGCATCTGTAATTGTACAAAAAATGCCTCATCTCTTCACAATTTCTAATGACATTCCCCACTTGTGAGAGTCTTTATGCACACATGTTGTTGTTGCTTTTCAGTTGTGTCTTTGGGACTAAACTACCTGAATGCGTAACAAAAAAACATCTACATGACTGATGTACATATTCAAATGTTTCTTTTAAAATCAGAGAGTGAAGAGTGTCAGGTGCTCATGTGTTTGTGTGTACATTTGAATTAAGCATCAGTATATATCTGTTCATCTCTTCCCAAAGCATGAAGTGAGTGCTTGACTGACAGCCTACAATTACAAATAAGGTTTTAATTTCAGTCTAACCCTCCCCTTTTGTCCTTCTGCCTACGTTATTGATTCTCCATCTGTTTCTTTCTACCGCTCTCCCTCTGCAGTATTACAAATGATTTGGCTCTCTGCCTCTCCATTGTTTGTCAATGATGTTTAATATCATTTCAATGATAACCATAATTGATGACATCACATGGAAGGAGAGCTGTCAGAATTATTGACATCATCTCTGCATGATAGAGATAAAGTTTTATAGCAGCAGAGCCCCCTGGCCTGTCCTCTTTATTTTTAGCTGTTGATGTGTGCATTAAGCTAAATGGAATGGCTTTGCAGTCCCTTTAAATTTGGATTGATCTTAAGCCTACTTGTTTGTCTGTTTATGTCAAAGAAAGGGACCGTGGTGATTTGACGTTTTAATAATGAAATGCTGTCAATAAACTGGGCAGCTGCCCTTGAGCAGGATGAAAAATGCCCACCCAAAGTAAATTTCCAAATGTCAGGGAGATCTGTCAACCAAAAAAAACCATTTACACATGACATAACACAGTCCCCCTGTCCGCTCGTCCTTCTCTTTTTTTCCCTACTTTGTTCTTTGCAGGTGGTAGTCATAGGGGGTTATTAACTAATAGTTGGTGTTGTTTGATGACTAAATGTTATCAGCAGGTGGTAGTAAGCTCACCTCAAAGACAGAAAGTCTCTGCATGCTTCAGTTGCTTTATCGGAATAGTCCTTCCGTTTCTACACTTACATTTAATCACATTAAGGCACTAGCAATTAAACAGTATATATATATTTATACATGTGTACAATGTTTGATTTATGATGTCTCTGCACGGGAGACAAATTCAGCATCTTTACAAAATGTTCTTTCATGAAGCATCAGATCTGTCGAAGTATTGTTGCAACATTGAGTTTCTTGTGTCATCATGGACTTCTTTATATTGTTAATGATATATATTTTCTACACACACACACACACACACACGTACTCTCAAGGTATCCATCAAAATGTTTGGGTAAAATAAAAGACAAGTATTTCTTTAATAGCTCAGTGTAAGCATTGTGCATCATAGTGTTCTTAGATATTATCAGGATTCCCTGGACTGCTCGATGAACCAGTTTTAAATGTCTCAAGAAAAATCTGTTTTCTTTACACAGTTGGCGTTAGGCATGTTCCCGTATCCACAGGTGAGTTATTTTCTCTCTCTTTTTTTCTCAACCTCTTTAGATTGAATTCCAGAAATGTGTTACTTCAGAGGCAGATTAGTTACTCTCAATAGACTGGTTTTATTATCAGTTTGTTTTGTTTGAATGTTTTGTCTATAAGGCTACTGAAATTTTTTTTTTTTTTTTAATCACATTTTTGAGGGGGACACATCTTAGGTCAAAAAGAACCCATACCACGATAAAGCAGATGCAGAAAAACAGGCTCTCTTCCAGTCTGAACCGTTTTCTTGCTCGTTGTGTTTCCAGCTGCAGAGAACTGTGTGACTATAGTGAGGACTTTCTCCATTAGAAATATACAGCTAATGCAGCAAAAGAGGGTTTTTTCACAATTAATCATGGATAAGGATTTATCTATATTTAAAAAAAACGTTTTCACTGGACTAAAATACGTCTATAGTATAATTTCATTGACGAGGATTTTCCAATGATTCCAAATTGGTCCAACAATCCTTGTAACAGTTCTTAGAAAAGCTTTTCTGTTACATGAGGCACTAACATGTCAAGGCCATTATGAGACAAAGACGTCTAACTAAAAATATGATTTTCACTCATCTATATTACTCCCTTGATTAAATGTTCAGTACTATGAACACCTTTAAATGTGGAACTGTACTGTTTGGATTCATTTTTTCCCCTCATTACACTAAGTAAGAATCCTGCTCAAATGTAATTGCCGAACACAGAAGTGACTTCACAATCCCATCAAGTCTTAATTAGCCCTTTTAAGATGGGTTTATCTCACTAATCCCAAGATGAGCCATCTAAATCTGGTTACCTCAGTTTACCTCCTGGCCGCCCTGCTTTACCAAATGTGAAGGCACGCATTTCAACTCCTGAAGAGTTTGTACTCTAACTAAACCGCCATTGTGTCACAATCATGCTTTGAAAACTGTCAGTAAGTGATTCAAAGGTGGTTCATTTTTATTTGTAGTAAGCCCCTGATAGACTATACAACTTGACATGTTTTTGTGGTTTGTCCCTCCATTAGTCAAATCAAGATGGCAGCTGATTGAAGAAGCATAGTGGGATGTAATCATTTATCTTTCTTGTGAGGTATTGTGTGCGTTACTTTTTGCAAGGCGGAACAAATAAGGGGACCCGTCAATGAAACAGTTGAGCTGGATGTCACACAGACTTTTAAAATCTCCACAACATCATAGGTGTTATTGTCAATTACCTGTGTGTTACAACATTCTCCTGTTAACGTTATAAATATGATGCTGGGAGAAACGCCCATGATTGTTTCAAGAATTCATTCAGAAGCTGGTTTCTGTCCTGAAAAGCCATCTGTGACGGTGACAAGAGTCGTGATGTATTTTTTATGTTGATCACTGATTCTTGAGCCACGATCTAAACCTATTGAAAACCTTTGTGAATGGGAGCAAAGGTGTGTTTCTACAGCCCTCCCATTACATAGTGATGTAAATGTCACACCATGATCAATCTGTTATTCGACATGTGTGTGACGACAGCCTGGGGCGTGGCTGATTTCTGAGTATGCTTCTTTAATTGAATGCCTCCATTATCATGTTAATTGTGGTTGTATTTTGAAAATGAGTGGTAATTCACTCTGCTCTTAGTGATATAAATAGGGCAGACAAAATATTGGAAACGTCTCTTAGTTTATAGATTAGGCTCTCCACTGTCACGCAGCAGCTCTCCTCATCTGGGTGTTAATTTTCCCCTAACTCCATATGGTACTGCAGACAGTTCACCTGCAGGCTGTAGCAGAGTGGTGTGGCGAGAGCGCTTGGATCCAGCTCGTCAGGCGCAGCCAGCCAAAGTCCTCGGGCCTAAGCTGTCATTTTTGCAGACGCTGGCACAGCTGTCCGTGCAAAAAAGATCTCTGCTACACTTAACAGAGAACATTTTAGTACAGACTGAGGGAGAAGTTGGAAGAGATGAGAGAAAATATGAGAAAATCAGTGGCATGCTAGTTTCCCATGTGTCCAAAGGGGCTTTTTTCCTCTGCAGTAAATTTGATGAAGTTGCTTACTTTTAATATTTTTACATCATTGATTCTTTTTTTTCCACACCAGTAGATGGATAAGCCATATACTGTGTAGCATTTCAAAACAGTGGAAAACAGCATGGGGATGTTATTACTGATGATTAGCACAAACCTACTGAACTTACAAACTAACAGTTTAAGTAGATCTTCATTAAACAGGAGAGGTATCACAACAACAGGTGCATTTGAAAGGGGATTGTTATAAGTGTGTTTCTCAGTAGAGCTTGTAATTGTCATGAACAGGAAGATGAGGAGAGGAGTAAGGAGGGATCATCCACTTGTTTATCGAATGACAACAGTATTGTTCCGACAACCAATAGTGGAAGATACAGGATAAGGTGTTTTTACTTTAAAAAAGACAATTTAAACATTTTTTAGTGTCTTTGGTTCATCTTATCATCATGTAGGAGTCAGTGCTTGTCTGTGGTTTGTATTTGTGTGTGTGTAGTTGATGCATTATCTCATTCACTCTTTTTTGTGTTTGTATGCGTGCACAGTGGAATCATCTCTTCTTTGTCATGACTAGAGATGGTGTGTTTAATTCCACTTCACCACATGTCGGGATTCATTTGCGTCCTTTGTCAGGAGTTAATGGAGTTTTTTGCACGGCTCGCTCTGAAAGTCTTTGAAGACACCAGACCTGATTTGATGTGTATACAGCCGCTAGCTATATTGTTTCTGATTGATTTGTTGTCTCTTGTTTGTTCCATAGTTGTTTTTGTTTCTCTTGATTTTGTCATATTTTCTCAAATTTGAATTCATCTCTGGATGAAATATCATGTCAGTTCTCGTGTGAATGTTTCAGGAGCTTCCATTATTCATCACCGCATCCATCACAAACAGAATAGATGCTTTCACTTTGTTTGTTTTTTTTCCTTTCAAATGAAATGAAGTGGTTTTGTGCTACTATGCATCGTATGTATGGGTTTTCTGGAACTTCACAGCAAAATACACCAGCTCCAATCATAGACTTTTTTAATTCCATGTCCTCCTTTATTAAATGGTCTATTAAAGTCTATTGGGTTCCCATTTAGTCCTTACATTGCTTTAATGCACATGAAAAATATTGGCCCATCCTACTCAATCACAAGAAACTAAATCACTACATCTCAACTTTTTTTTACCATGCTAATTATTATCTTCTAAACTTTTACCAAGTCTTCAGAACCTTATCGTTGGCTTTCCTTTGTTAGTTGTAGATGATAGAGTTGGTTTGATCACCTGAAGTGTATCTTTGTTGGGCCATATTGAAGCTTTTTGGCTGAAAATGAAAGGTGTCACTTTGGAGGAGATTAGAGCTGCAGTTATCATATTTTTATTTTAGCTGTCTATAATGGCTAGCACTGAAGCTAACAACAGAGAAAACAACCGCCTGATTTTCTCTCATCTTATACTGAACTCCCATTGGTGGAGGGAAAAAGCCCTCTGATGGTTTAGAAGTGTTTATTGAGTTGCTCTTTAAAGACATCCAAAATGAAATTTGTGACTTTTAATTTCCATTCTGTAATGTTTTCAAATAGTGACTGAAGGGCCGTTGTGACTCTTATTAACATGGTTCTGAAGCTCATCAAACTTCAATTCGTTAGTTGTCCTTAGATCAGGTGTCAGAAGATGGCTTAATGAAATAAATAATTGGGTATGCACACAGGCATGCAGATAATCAGCCCACTGTGATGAGACTCCTTTAAGAGGGACATATAAGGAGGGAGAACCAAACCTGTCTTTCTGATATGTGGTCAAGCTACCTAGTACAAGAAGAATAAGTGCTCAATAATGCTTGAATAAGTTTGTCTCCCACTATCCAATTTCAACCCCTGGAGCAGCACGCAATTTTGTCCTAGTAATTATTTCTGAACAAATTAGTTTTCCATAGTTGCCTTTAATGTGTCTGAATCAGGCAAAACTGGATATAGAGGCAGTTTAGGAGCCTCTTGGTATTTGCAGAGTGTGAAAACCTGTATTTAATTGAGTGAATCAATAAGTGCTCTAATGCACTGTCAAAAGACGTGGAGAAACGAGCAATTTATTTACCAACATTATTAGACTTTTAGCTGAGCCTGAGTTCCAGGCCTTAAATCGTCTGTATGATTCTCTCATAAATTTGGCTCCTTAGTTTTAAACTGGTTTTCATCAGGAATTTGGTCTCGAGGTTTCAAATGGGAAACCTAAACACTTTTAATTCTTAAACTCGGTTATTTTTATTCATTATGAAATGCTCTTCTCGAGATCTTTCATGAGAAAAGTTCCTATTTTAGAATTTTTATGGACTTGGCTTTCACCATATAAGTGCTGACTTAAAAAGTCCAATTGTTATTAATTTATGTTTAATGTTTGGTAGCTTATCATGTATGACCTGTCTTTTGTCATTTTTGGACCTATGGTGTTGAGCATGTTTATTAAAAGCTTGTTCATATTGTTTGGAACCGTCATTGTACAGCCCGGCACATCGGGATAACCTGCAGGGGCAGTAATAAAGTAGTACTCTGAAAATAAGCATTAGTAGATTTTACCCCCATTCTCCACAAATGAGAGCAAGGCCATTAACATTTGTGTGTTTTCATTATGTAAATGGTGTTAACGCATACTCACAAATTGCCAACAGGAAAGCAATAATTTTCTCCTAGTGATCATAATGTGTCCAAGTGCATCATCTTGATTATGACACGCTAATTACATATTGCCTGGTCCCGTCTTCTCTTTCTTGCCCTACAGATTCAGAAAAACCAAGGATCTTTAATGGTAAGTTTTATTGCATTAGAGTAGCAGAAAAGAAAATAGGTCTCCCACACTATAGTCTGTTACTCTTGGTTGGCTTTCTCATTTAAAAAAAGAAGAAGAAAAAAACGACTCAAATTGCATTTCTGCGATGAAATATTAGATCATGCTTAAACTGCTGGTATTACATTAGGTGCCATTATGGAATAATAAAAACCTTTAAGGAGCTGAAGGATGGCTTTGCCTGAGCTCACTGCATTTGATTAATCTAAGTAGATACTTTTTATCACACTATTGATTTTCCTCATTGCCAGGAAATTTCATGTAGGCTAACATTTTTTTTTCATCTGTGTCTCTCTACTTCCAGCCTCTCCAGTTACTGCAATGCATCGTTGATGAGGTGAGTCGCCGTCTTATGTGCTTTTGCATCTAAAGTCAGTCCTAATGGCCCGGAAAGCTTATATTTTGTTTCCTAATGAAGCAAACCACTCAGGCGGCTTTGCTCCCCACTCACTCAGCCCTTCACCCTATGCAACTGCCTCAGGCAATACACATATGCACCCGCACATTACTGCAGAGGTTGGACCTGTCATGAGTGACACACACAGCAACACAGCTTTGAATTTTGTATACAACAGTGACAATACCAGAGCAGGCGAGGGTATGTTTAACCAGTGCTGTTCTCCCAGCTAAATGGGTATTTACAATCCTATATAGAAAGGCAAAACACAAATAAAAAGTCTGATAATGGTACATTAGTTAATAGTGATATATAAACTTGCATCTTTTTTAAATGTTACTATTTACAAGCAAAATTTAGAAAAAATGAGCATAAAAGCAGATATCACACCATACCACTACCACTATAGTACACTATGAGCAAAAACACAACGTCCGCTCTATAGCCTAAACCAGCCATATCACACATTAAGCATACAATGTCACTTGTCCTTAACTGCCTATAGATAGGCCTTAATTAATAATTAAATGCTTTTGGTTGTAATGGATTGACCCAGGCTGAACTGTTCATTAGTCAGCGAGACGGAGGCATCATTCAAACTAGTTTTTTTCTGTGCCTTGTCCTGTCCCTCCCCTCAAGGCAAGAGAGCATTTTTCTTTGGTCCCTAGCGACCCAGCACTGCCTCACTGTCCCAGCCAATGCAGTTTTATTGAGAAAGACACAAGAATATAAGAAGTCTGTGGATAGATCAAGTTGTAAAAAGAAAATTAAAGGATAACCGTATAGTAGATTACCTACAGAATTCGCTTCATCGTCATGTCCTAGTTTTTTGTCAATTCTATTCCTAGAACACTGCAACCCCTCTGCCTTAGTCAGTCACATTAAGGCTCATTGTTCTCTTGTGCAGAGATGCCTGTCAGAAATCTATAGGACGTTTTTAACAGCAAACATGTCATCCATTGAAAAAGCTCTTTTATCCAGAAGCTTCGTTCCTCCCTTTCTCAATGCAAGCAGAAAATCACTAACTTTGCATGAGACTTAGCCTTAACCATCAGGGTTTTTTTTTTTAATCTTTTATTGAAAGGCGTAGATACTTGATTATATAAATGATACATGTCAGTAAGAATTATGGCCTTTTTTGACCTGTGGTGTCTCCCAAGGCTCCATTCATGGCCCCTTGTCATTCTGTGTTTGCATCTTGCCACAAGAAAAAAGGTACAAAAGTTGATACATTCGTTATTGGTGCTGAATTTTCCAAAACTTTCTCCAGTTAAATTGAAACACATTTTTAATAATTCTTGATGGTGCTCCAAAGTTTATTTCCATTTTACAAAAACATCTTGTCTTTTCAGCCAGAAAGCAGGGAGTAAGATTTTACAGTGAATTTTCAATTGAAAAACAAGATACTAAAGATGTTTAAAAAATGTTTAATCTGATGAGGAGCATCTCAAATCCAGTCTTTTTACTTTCAATCCGGTCACTTACATTATATATATTGTTTTTAGATTTGTAGATCTCAATATGCTGGGTGGCAAAAAGTATCCAAGACATTTAGCTGATAACAAACAAGGCTCAATACTATCTAAAAAATCCCTAAATATAACATATCAGCCCTGTGTTTGCTTCCTTCACTAGTAACCAGTAAGGTTTTAGATTTGATTTTAAGATTCTACTGATTATCTTTCCAAGCTCGTAACTGTTAAGCTACCAGATACTCCCCTTTTATGGGAGTCGCATGTCCCCTAAAAGGGGAGTAGCCATCGCATGTCCTCAGGCTCTCCGGCAGGGCCCTGACGGCTTTTTTTTTTTTTTATGACAGTTAACTGTCAGATTTTGATCTGTAAAGGCTTGTACAACTGAACTAGGATGCATTGCGGGCCCTGTTAGACCTTTTAATCTGTCCTTTGTAAAAAAAAACGGGTATGAATGAATCTATAAGGTCCTGTGAAGTTTTTAATTTAATGCTTAGATTCCTGAAACTGGGCTGAACACATGACTTAAAAATACAGGCAGGTTTGATCAATTTGACCTTACTCACTGACATTGAGTAAGTAAATTGCAGATTTGCTCGAAATGCTCTAAATTTTCTTAGGTTGTGGTGTTTTGGTTTTGTGTATAACTAATCCACTGGGCAAAGTTGCTTCAATGACTGAATGAAAAATAGGCTCTTGTGAATGGATCGTTTATATTATTGTAGCTACAAGCATGTTTTCAGTGGGGGATGAAGTATGTCAGTCTGCCTCTCTTTTTTTTCTTTCCTTTTCTGTTTCACATAAACACCCAGTGAGGTATGGCTAAGAAAGACTAAACTAAAAGATTAATGTATTCTAAGGCTTGGAATTTGGACCAAATAAAATCATGGATTAAAGTTAAATTCAGATGTTCAAAAGGGCTGGTTAAACTGTTTCGAAAAAAGGCTGTGGCATTCATCGTAGTTCATCTCAAATACAAAGGTGGCTGCACGTGTGAAAAGATTCTATACAGATTCTGTAATAACTTTTCATATTGAAAGGAGAGTGGCCTTGAAACTCACGAAAATAACTGCGATCTTGTAATAGAAACTTCAACTTGTACTGAATTTTTGGGGGGGGATTTGAGAAGTAATATTTGTTATGAATAAGAGGGCCAGGGCTCAGTTTGTGATGACAGTTTCACCTGTATTAGAGCAGTTAGACAGCCAAGAGGTGATTAAGATTTCTCTAAGATAAACAGTGTTGCCACCGCTTATTAGCTACCTCCTGTATGTATCATTTATTTTCATTTACCTCAACTCAATTTGACTGTATGCTTTTGAACTTGCCTCTTTAGAAATTACCCTGTGCATCATCTAAAACTAGTTCTTGTGTTGCTCACACGAACATGCTCATGTTATTAGCCTGTGTCTTTCTCTCTGTAGTCGTTCCTACCATCTGTTAGCTGTCCACCCTCATTAATGTGCCTCTCTCCTCTATTTGTTGAATAGCAAGTGGCTCCACTAATAAAGAACTCCCACTTTATTTTCAAGCCTGTAATTACTGATCTAATTTTGCCTAATAATTGCTTCATGGCAATCACATGTATATTTACTTGTACCCTTGTACCCTCCTAGTGTGTGTTCTGTCTCATAGTGGAGCCCGTTGACAACCAGAGGAATAATTCACTCACACTAGCCACTTTCATCAGCCTGCTTGTCTTTTGTGCCATCGCCTGCTGCCACATCAAAGCTGCAGCGGTGTTCCTCTCAGCTGGAGATATGAATACATGCATTAATATGTGTGTGTGTGTGTGTGTGTGTGTGTGTGTGTATGTGTGTGTGTATGTGTATATGTGTGTTTGTTTATTTCTGCAAAAAGGTGCATGTGCATGCAAATATGTGGGGAAAGTGCATAGAGAGATTTCATTCAGATTTAGCTTACACAACACATGGATTGGTTGTGTAGTCAACACTTTTGCGTGTGTGTGTGTGTGTGTGTGTGTGTGTGTGTGTGTGTGTGTGTGTGTGTACCATAGTACAGTGGTTGCAAATTATTTGGTACTCTCCCTCTAAACGGAGTGAACACTCAGGCTTGCCGTGTGTAGTGCTCAAGGGCATTTGTTTGTGCATGCCTGTGTGTGTATGTGTATGGGCTATGATATATTGCTCATCCAAGCAGCGGCGGTACTGTGAAGTGCAGTGAGATTAGAAGGGAACCCATTCCTTTGTTAATTTAAATGGGTTCATGCATCATGCTTTGCGGGAGCCTGCCGATCAGAGCATTAAGGAATGGCGAACACTGCCCAGAGGTGTTTTTAATGGCACAGCAGGGCTTCAGATGCAGAAAGGTGTAATTCCCTGCATTAGAATAAATACCCGGGTGTGTACCTCAGCTTTGGGATATTTGTACACATAGAGGTATTGGTGTTATTGTCTTTGTTGATATCATTGGATGTCACTGGGCATGTTTTAAATTGTGTAGGACTTGCATTTTTACCTCCTGATCTTTTTACTTTTGATATTTTCTGATAGTGTCTTATGCTTTTGAGTTTAACAATCCTTCATATTCAAGATATCACTTGTAAGAAATTGGCCTGTATACTCTATATATACACATTATTTTCAAATGAAAAACATTTCCTCAATATATATATTTTTTTGATACATAGCTTTAATTTTGTTAGTTACCCTAATAATCGTATTATTGAAACCTGCCTGTTGTTTGTGGTTCAAGATGAAGTCAATATTTATTTGTACTGTTTTTTTTAGTAAATATACTAGAAAGAGGAGATTTGAATCCTGTATCCTGTTACTCATTTTTCCCCTATCCTTCCTCCTAAGGATATTAAAGGTAGAAATAAGAATAATTATTAAAAGCTTTAATGCCAACAGTCGAATGTAGTGGAGCAAGCGGAGACAGTCGGGATTAAAGGCGAGGGCCAGTTAAAGAGGGTCAGTCGGGAGCAGCTGTTCTACATGACACACCTCATTGCACCTCCATTGACTGACACATACACGCCCCTTACTTGTTTATGTATTTGCAGCTAATTTTTTATTATTATTTTGGATGAAAAGCATGTTTAATCACATTTGGTCAGAGAGGTTCCTTCCAAACACTGTACGTTAAGAGGTGGTTGGTTCACAGTTTGGTCAAAATCACAGTTCAAGAGAACGAAATCCAAACCTTAAAGAAGGATAAAATCTGCAGCAAATGAAAAAATACCACTCGTGCTAATCGAAAAATGTTCCTCTGACACAGTAAAGCACAGAGTCCTATGATTGTTAAGAGTGAAAAAGAGATGGTCTTTGTCCTGTCCTGAGAGAGAAAACATGATGTTAATAAATTAACAATATTAAAGAAGTTTAATACATGATTAACAACAATCAGACATGTAACCTTCATCTGAATCACTCAACATAGGTTTGAACATTTTAACCACCCCCACATATTTATTGAGGTGCACCCTAAAGCATGACTTCAGATTTGTAGTTTTTTAACGCACACACACTATCTCCCTGCGCAGCATTATGCTGTAAGTAAAGACGAGCCACATAACCACCATCTCCTACCAAGCCCTGTTGTTACAATTCTCATGCACTTTTTTCGCCATCCTGTTGTTTCCTTAGCTCTATTTCAAGAAAGACATTTTTCTTGCCTTCCTTTCACAATAGCCTACCTCAGAAAAAAATTGGTATGTTGATGTGTAACTCCATAAATGTTTGCGATGCAGGTACAAAAGGGCGAAAAGCATTTCAAGGATCTGTTAAGGAGCATTACTGAGAAATGTTTCAGTAGTCATTCAGTTAACAACACATTGCTGTGCCTTTTTTACACTCAGTGTAATGTATGCTGCTGTAATCCATCCTTATTTCTATCCAGGATGATGCATTTTTCTTGTTGTCTCAATTGTTTTTTTCTCTCTTCACAGGATCCTCCAGTTCTTCCAGTCAGCCAGTTCAGTGAAAAGTTTGTTCACTTCATCACTCAGTGGTGAGTCACTTACTGTTGTTCATCATATGAATTGATTTAAGAAACACAGGCACATAATTGATTTAACGATAACCTCAGATTTGAATAGAATTGTGTTTGTTTTCAAAAGCTTGTGTATTTTGATGCATTGTGGTGTAAATGGCTTAAGCGATCTTTTTATTTTTAAGGAATGGCTGATTTGTCTAATGCATTTGGACAAAGCCAAAGTTTACCCTGCCTTTGCCTCTGATTCATTAGCCTCTTGAAGCCTTTACAGTTAAGCAAACATAAACATACACACCTAAACCACATGCAAGTAGTTTGTGTGTGCGTGCAGCACTCACTAGCCTGCTTTACCAGCTGTTGCCCCCCCCAACACCCGCCAGCTTTATTTACTCAAACAAGGCACCTCTCTCTCAGGACATACTGAGGTAATGATGTCCTGACCTGCTTTGTTGCAACACTGGCACTATCTTCTCCCAGGCTAGTTTTGAGGGCCGATTCATTGTGATAAATAAACACATGACATGACTAACTTCAGACCCTGCCCTAATTCCTCAAAGTCCCCAATATGGGCCATTTTGACAGATTGTGTACGTCTACATACCATGGAGGACAGCTACATCGATCCACTGAACCAATGTTGATATTCTGATTAAAAAGTAATGTTATTAAAATAAGAAATATTAATTAAATCACTATTTGAAATGAATGTTGATTGTCTATCAAGACCTTCGTTTTCATTGCTGTGGCATGAAAGTTCATGTTCCAATTCTCCACTTACATATTCATTTTTATTTGGAAATTAAGTAATTTAAATTGAAGTTAGAACAAAAACAATCTCGCACACTCAAACACAGTTTGAGAAGAGCCTGGGTATTGACTCTTTTTCTTTCTTTCTCAGTATGCGGCGGCAACCGAAAGAGCGGCCTGCACCCAATAACCTCATGGTAAGTTAAACCTCCCCTTTAACCAGCTTCAAGGACTTAAACGTTTGGAATAACTGCACACAGAGGATAATCATATTCATAAATTCCAATAAAAATTCAATTAAACATCATTTTAAGATCTTTGTAGGTTTTGAAGTATACAATTGTATTTTGGCAATGATTGGGGTGTTTTGGGTCAAGGACCCTTGAAGTTTGTACTGCTGTGTGGGAACAACAGTAATGAACTTTATGCTATGAAAGGTGTCAGAAAGAAGACCTTGAGTTGGAAATTAAACATACTTCAGTGATAATTTGTTCAATTCACTGCAATGGAGCCAGCATAAATGCTTCACGCCTAGCTGTTGTACAAGAGACTCAGAATTCTATTTGACTAAAAAATTAAGTTTTATAGCCTAATGGAAATTTGATTGAGGGACAAAAGGAAATTATTTAAAGTGCTTGTGTGTGCCTGTCTCTATTTGTGCATGTGAATAATGTGTGCCCAACACCATGTAGTCTCTTTATTTTCACCCCTCCTTGTACTCAAATTAATTAATTTCATTAAAATGCTCAAAGTTTGCTCCAATAGTGACCTCAATACTAATCTGACAGGGAGAGAGCCTTGCTTTTTTAAAATCTGAAATGTACATCGCATGGTTCTTTGACCATTTGTTATGAATCCTCTTTTATTGTTAACTGTTATTTTTCAATTTATACAAAACCACGGCCAAGTAGAGCTGAGAATCTTTGGGTGTCTCACAATTCGATTCGATTTTTATTCTTGAGGTCACGATTCGATTGAGAATCTGTTTTCGATTCAAAACGATTCTGGAGTCATGGATTCAAAAATCAATTTTTGAATTAGTACATACTTCATGATCTACTCCAGTCATCTGTGAGCCAAACAAGGCGGTGTGGCAAATTATGGCATGAAGTTGTAATATTGTTCAAAATGTCAATAAGGTAAATAAGCAAAGTCAAATCTTAAAACCAAAGATAACATTTATTATGCTTAACTTTCACAAACTGTATTTCTCAATTCTCCCTCAGTCAGTGGTTTTAAGAATAACAAGCTGTACCAAAAAACTAAAATGGTGTTGCATAAATACAATAGGCAGGCTTAGGCTAGCTGCCTTTCTTTGAAACTTGCCATTATATTCTCAGTTTCTCAGTGACTAGAACATGAACATTACATCCAGTTGTATGCTTAAGTTAGCTGCCTTTTTAGTTTTGGAAACCATTAAAGAAATAGCTACGGATCATGCTAGACGCCAAGTTGATTAAGATAAGACAAATCTTGACTTACCCCACGACGCATTTTTAAAATGCCAAAGTATGTTTGTGGTACAGAGAGGTTATGTTAGATTCAAAGCAGGACTTCACTATTTACATTAGTAAATTCAAAACTTACCTGCTTCCCCTCTAATGTAGACGATGATTTGATCTGTTCTAGCATGAGCACACATGGCCCCAGCAGTTTGCACAAACTGCCTTTTAAGAGTTGCAACACGCTCCGGTTTCTGTTAGGACCAAGGACAGCGACAGGGAGGTCCACTGGGAGAGGAGTGGTGAAGGTTTGTGTTGTGGGGACGGAGGGCTGGAGGGTGTAAATGCAGAGCTGCTAACAGATTGTATGTTCTCAGTCTCACACCAGAAAGGAGGAGTAAAGAGAAATGTTGTCTAGACACTCACTGGGAATTTGTGCCTCCAGACAAAAGTGTTTCTCTTGAGGTAGAGACCGTGCACTGAAGAGTTCTGGGACATGTGGCTTGTTGTATTGGTGATGTGCTGCTTTGAACTGAACTTAAAAACATTTTGTTCAGGGTTTCCTTTGACTCCAAATATTTATACTTCCATGTCTTAGTCTGACTTATTGATTTTTCTCATTCTTTGTAAAATAGTATCTTTTCTACTGGTTGTCGGAGACAATATGATGAATTTATTTTTATTTATGTTTATGCTGCTTCTAGTCAAAAGTCCATGGACTGTACAAAACATGGATGTAGTCTCAGTGACGTCACCTATTGGTTTCTGAATGATGAACGTCACCTTATTGGAAGTGCTGACTCTTAACTTTCAGTCAAACTAATGACAGACGAAGAGGTGGAGTTGAGGCGGATTGTCAGTCTCCTTGAAAACAGCTACCATGTCTACCTGTCAGTAAAATCAGCTGCACCCCTGATTATGCAAATATATGCTAAACTTTTCTTCTTATTATAATTCAAATGAATGAGTATTAATACAAAATTAACCCCCACACGGTTTTTACAAGTTAAGAAATTAGCTACAGAGACCAAAAATGTTTTTATTTATGTAAACATGTTTATTTCTGCAGTTAAAACTGGCATTTTACTGTAATATGGGACCAAATGTCATTCCTTGACTTTGGCAACCAGCCTCAAGTGGACACTGCAGTTCTTTGCACTTCTGCATTGGCTTAAGTTTTCAACACCGGAGGTTACCGCTTTGTTATAACACAACTAATGCAAGGTCAATGGTTACAACGATATAATTAAGAATTCTACAATTCATTTAGCAGACGCTTGTAGTCAAAGAAACGATGTGAGTAAGTGCAAACGATCAGCTTTGAGTCCGATTGGACACAAAGCACAACATTGACGGCAGTTCTTGAGAGCTCTTATTCTAGAAACCAGCTTAAAAGTCGACGTTATCAAACAAAAACCATTGTTATAGAAATAACAAGCCTCTCTATTCATGCTAAACAGACAATTTTGTTTGCTGCCTCTTAAAGTATTTTGATTTTTAAAAAGTCAGTGTATCAGTGGGCTGGTGTGTGTAATTATATTTACTAAAACTGTTCCTATAAATCTTTCCTTTCTCTTCATTTCCTCCACATTCCTACTTTGACCCACTTCCTTCACATTCATCATGATCGCTGTGCTATTTTCCAAATGTCCGCAGTTCTCCCCTTTTTTTCTTCTCTCACTTATTTTTTTATTTTTTGCATCGGTCTTATTTTTCCTTTACCTATATTTTCCTGTAGGACTTTGATTTCTTCCTCTGCCTCGATGAACTGAGATGTAAGGTCATGGATGCCTGCCTTTGTGGCTCCTGCCTGCTGATTGTCTTTCTCTCCTTTTTCTCATTCCCTCTTTCTCCCCACCTCTCGCTCTACCCCCTTGTTCCCACAGCCTCCTGAGTACATTAAAACTCTTTACCTATTCTATCTGTATGTTAATGCACCAACCCACAGCTCCCCTGTTCTCCTCTCTCTCTCTCTCTCTCTCTCTCTCTCTCTCTCTCTCTCTCTCTCTCTGCTGTAAAGAAAAAGTGCCACCATTTGCTTCAGTTTTTTTTTTCTCTGCAACTCATTTCTCCTGGAAGATAATGCGGGGAATCACATAATAGTGCAAACACTGAGCAAATAATGTTGTTTTATGACCATTCATTCTCACCTAGTCGCTCTAGTTTGATCATCTGGTTTCAGCATGTGGTTTCTCTAATCACTGGTATAACTTCTCCTGACGTTATTTTCTCTGGGATTTTATCCTATTAGAGGTTTTTAAAGGGCTGCTGTTTGATTGCATCCCTGCTCTTGATGGGTTCTGTCCCTGAAGCTTTACACAGTGTGCTATAACTACTTGTTCTGGGTGTTTGACTCATTGTATTAATATTTTATCCTATTCAGTCCTACTTTTGAAACAGTTCTCCTGACTAATGTCTCAGTGAATAGTTCAAATCTGTAAAGTACAAGTCTTAATGATCAACCTCAAACACCCAGGAAATTTGTTTTTGAAATCCATCAAATCTTTCAAACACATATAAACCGGATTCATTTTTTTATACACTCGGGTTGTTTTTACATTTAGTGTCCAAACAACACAGATATGTTTGTGACTTGACAAACAGAAATATGCACTGCCTGCTGTTCTTGTCTTTACTTCCTTTTTTGCAATTTAATGTGGAATAAGTGTAGGCATGTGTACGCTCTGGTTTGCGTTTGTTCACATTACACAACTGTGATTACAACTGTGTAAAACTCAACTGGCTTCTTCAGTCTTTAACTGAAGCCAAACACAATGAAACAAATATATGCTCTTGCACTAATTCATTTCCCACCATATTGTACAACACAAACAGTATGAACGATACGTAATCATAACAGTCACATTAAAGTGACCATCTGAGTAAATAAGCATTTTCAAATGCTCTGCATTATAATGTATTTAGCTGTTAAAGTTGCCCATTGCTGTCCTTTCTCTGTGGGGTTATAGTGATATATATTATGTAAGAAGTAAATCACTGGTTCGTATTTTGATACCTCGCCAAAAAGCTGAAACAACCATGGAATCCTTGAGATGATCTGAGCCCAGATGGTTTACACGGTGACTCGTGATGAGATGATGAGCCATCAGAGAGGAGGGTGAGCGTGTTTTTCTCCTCCTTATACTATGCATCTTTCATTGTGGACACCCTATCCTGTCATCATTAGCTAAAGACGTCGGTCAGTTGAGGAGACGCTCCATTGGCTGGCTCCCAGGCTGTTGGTTGCAGGTTCTTAGTGACAACCTGTCCTGTCTGAGGTTTCTTGATTTTTAATCTTTCACCTGCCCTTCTCTCTGAACAACAGCTCGTCTGTGTGTAACAACTATTGACCCATTTATCAAGCTTCAGGTCAAGAAAGACAGAACAGATAGCGGGGTTTACATTACATTTATTAGTACACCGCCTAATTACATTTAGTTTACCAAATGCAAATAATTCAACATAAAGATGTGTGTCTATGTGCTTTTTCATCTGGCATGTATTAAACGTGTGTATGGGAGAGGAAAAAGACCAAACCGATGAGCCCCCCCTTACTTCCCCCTTATATTCTTTGATTGTGATTTGATGGACATTTCATTCCTCCCTCCCCCCTCTCCCTCATCACCCCTCATTCCCCAGCCAGCAGCCTTCACACAGCCTTTTAGCACCCTTGTCAATGCAGCCCTCCTATTCTGCTTTTCTATTCATAGGCGCTCACACAAATTTTTGTGCCCCCCTTACCACCCCAGAGACAC